AAATTAGGTGCAAGACAGAAGCTAGTTGTTAAGAACCAAAATTTAAAGTAAAAAAGCTGCGGCACCATATGGTTTTTTTGGTACTGAACAACACCCAAAGGTATGATACTCTTTGATTCAAAAGACATATTTCTCCTAAAAGCTTGGGCATGTGAGTGAGAGGGGAAAACGTTAACATTGTCGGCAATGCAAATAATTACTTCATTTTAACCTTATATATATGAGTAGCAGACCAAGCTGAATGTCGTTCCATTATCGGCTCACATGTTATTGATGAGCTATTGATTGTATTTGAATTGTCTCAATTATATTATGACATTAGCATTTGAAGTAGAAATATATATAAATATATGATTCAGAAAATTATAAATATATTAGCACACGATAAAAAGAAATTTTAAGTTCTTCGACCTTTTTCTTTTGTTTCATAGCGTATACAAAAATTATATTTTACTACATTGTACGTACAAAGTTCATTGTTTTGTACCGAAATTATCCGAAAAGTTTTATCATTGCAAGCTGCTATCTCGTTTTTCACAGAAATTTATGTAGTTGGAAATTGACATTTTATGATGTATAAATATACAGAATTCGATGAAATTCACAGATAATTAACCTTTGATTTAAATTTAAGACTAATTACCATGGATTACTAATGAAAACACTAATTTGCGACAAATCGAAGAGTATTGATGTCTTGTCGAAGTATTACCCAAGGTATCCTCCTATTTATCTTAAGGATGTTCGCTTGTCATGTTTTAGAATTTTTGTCAGATTTTCGGAATCCTCTGGTTTTATCCATTTGAATGCCTTTAAAAATTTTGCCCACTAACCCCTTTTTTTCTTTTTATAAATCTTTTACAAGTATAATTAAAAGCCATCTGTAAAAGTATTATAAAATCTTTGTTACTTTTGAAAAGTTTTTGAGAACTTAAACTTGTCAATGATAAAGCTATGAAAAATCAAGAGAGAACATTTTCCCGCCATAATTTCAATGGCTAATATCTCAAAAACACCTACATTTTTTTTCGCTCTTTTAGGTCCTTTGTTAATCCCCTATCAATATATACTAGTGTAATGAAAAGCTTGTTATTTGGAAACTGAGTTGCGAACTTCCTTAAACAAAAAATCAAGTATGTTCGCCTTATTCAACAACAATTAAGGACATCAACATATCAGTCTGAATATATATATTGTTACTCTAACAGTGCATCATTAATTGTACCCATAACGCATACTTTTTCTTACAATTAGCCATTCAACAATAAAAATACAGCTGCACAAATATGAGAATCACACTTTAACATATGATGCGTTCAAGTGCGATTTTTGATATTAAACAGTCAAGGGGAACACCGAAAAAAACCCAGGCTGTCTCCATACTTGATAAATATTCTGATGCGATATTCCTAATATCCTGCTTCTATTGCAAGCGAATGGTAATGTTCAAATTACTATTTAAAAAAATTAACATCATTAATAGTTCAATTTTATTGTTGGGAACCTTTTCAAGGTCCTTTTCCTATTAAAATCAATTTATCTGAAAAATAACACAATAGCATGAAACTAAACATGTAATTCTAGTGTACCATTCTTAAAGGGGCATAAGCTACGAGATATAAAAAAATCAAAATATGATTTTTTTTATTCAATCATTAATGAAAGTGAAATAGTGAAATAATAATTTGCTAATTTGCTTTTAGCAGTCAGTTTATTTCAACTTTGTCAAAATTAGCTAAGAAACATCGCTGATGATTTATTCAATTGCAAGTGAATAATTCGACTTGATTGAATCCGTATTCATGTGACCTTCAATTTAACCCATTAGCTAGAGATTGGTTACGCATGCATTAGTCGTGTTCAGCAATTAAAAGGAAAAGAATGTCAACATTGAAAGTGAAACAAAGGTTAACCATTTCGTTGACTGATGAGATCCACAAAAAATCATTCTTATACAGGTAAAAACGATGATTAACTTATCTTTTAACCTATAACATGAAATCAAACAGACCTAGAAAAGTCCAATTGCACGAGGTTGCTATCTATTTATATTATTTTTATGTTTATATCGGGTTATGTGACCGTCGGCAGTCTTTGGATGTCATCTCGATGGTTAATTAGATGGCGTCTAGACTAAAATACACACGAAATGCTGGTGGATATTATCGAGTCCATGCACTGTTAATTGTTTATTTTAGACTTGTTGTAATTTGGATATACGTATTAGTGAATTTGACAGCTAATGCCCGTTTAAACTAAAGATAATGCCACAATACACAATATAGTATTGTATTTTACTTGTAGATCTTTGGAAATTTCAACTGCAGTCAATAGCTTAGCAACAATATGTGAACGAAAATCGTCATGATCAGCGACTTCTATAAATACTAGTTCCTCAAAGGTGACTAGAGAATAGAAATATGGTCACTTTTGGTCTTCTGAGCGGGCGTTTGGCAGTATGCGATGCATAAATTCGCAGCCACGGCCGGTCAAAATGGAGTCGTAAAACTTGATGCCTCGTGTAGAGACCCTTGCAAGAACTTTATGAGGAGTCGTAGGTGGCCTGTTGCAAGGCGATATTTCTGTCCCTATCCCATATACACTTATTTTCAACTGGCACTCAACATTTCAGCCTTTATTCCGGTCAAATTTTTATTATAGAACCTACCTTTTGTATTAATTGTTAACTTATTCTCGTCCTGACCATGCTTGCAATATTAGCCACTGAACGTGAAGCAAAATCAATAAACCAATCAACCTATATAAAAATGAGATGTGGTATGATTTCCAATGACACAACTATCAGTAAGCAGTTATATGCCACTTTACGGCCTTCAACAATTGAAAAACCCATACCATATAGTCGGCTATAGAAGTATATTGTGAAACAATTCAATTGAGATAATTAACTTCATAATTTATTTACAAAACAATTTACGAAAAACAAATATGACAGACATAAACCAACGAAAACCAGTGTACTGCAGGCTCCTGACTTGGGACCGGCACACGAATAATGTGGCGACGTTAAACATAATTGTGAGCGCTCAATCCCCCCTATCATCTGGAACAGTGGTGTAACAGCACAACGTAAGAACAAACTGTAAAAGTCAGTTGCAATTGGCTTAATTCAAAATATCATTACGAGGCAACTAACATAAAAACAATAGTCACAAAGCACCGAAATAAGCGTACTCACAGTTACTAAAGCAAGTTCAAATGCAACTACAACTAATAAATAAACCATGTTCTATAACTACATAAATCAAAAGTAATGAAAGAAAGAGTTAAAAGAGTGATCAAGTAACAAGGTTTTCACTACTTAATTAAAGTCTTGTTCTGGTCAGCTGACGATGTTACTTCATACTTTAAGGGTGTTTTCTTTGAGTGCATCTAGAAATAATTTAGAATTACGGGTTTATTTTTGATTTTGGAACGACTCTCTCATGGGACGGCCGGGTGGAGGATAGGAGATATTTGCTAGGATTCGGTGGTATTAAAGCGCATACATTGTATATACCTAAATAGATTTTCATCTCTTTAAAAGTTCAAAATACGAATATCCGTTGTTCCTTTAACTCCTTCTTAAGTGCATGTATGCCATAAATTGAAACGATCTTTAATTTAAACACTGTCACAGGTTAGTTGGAGGGTTGAGCGCTCACAAACATGTTGAACCCCGCCACATTCTTTATGTGCCTGTCCCAAGCCAAAAGCCTGTAGTTCAGATATTGTCGTTGGTTCATGTCTGTCATATTTGTTTTTCGTAAATTGTGATGTTATAAATTAGGCCGTTAGTTTTTCTCAATTGAATTGTTTCATATTTTTCATGTCGGGGCTTTTTATAACCGACTATACGGTATGGGTTTTTATCATTGTTGAAGGCCGTACGGTTGCCTATAATTGCTTACATCCACTTCATTTGAACTTTGGTGGCTAGTTGTCTCATTGGCAATCATACCACATCTCCTTATCTATATGTTAATTGCTATTATGAAACAAACTTTTAGTACTAGTATGTAACACTGGTTTTTGCTGAATATGAGTTACGTCCGGTTTTGATTTCGAACGTACATTTATTTTTGTAAGGGAGTGTCAGATGCTTCATATATTTCAAACTATACATAGTTATCATGTTTTTTTTCTTCAGATTACTTCTTTGCCGTTGTTTTCTTTCGTTTTCGGTTGGGTTGCTCTGCAAAACCGATTTAATGTATGAAGACATCTTGTGTAACCGAATCCGGCTGCAGTTTTCGATCAAGATCTATGAAACTTCACAGAAATATTACGCACTGATTGAAGTTGTTTTGGGAATTTTTTTTTTCATTTTTCCAGATATGAACTTTTCAGCAAAATGTTCAAAAGGACAAATCATAGATACCAGGATGGAAATTTTGAAAGAATATTTTAGCGCTAACAAACATGATTAATGGATAAGCATGCAAAATGCTGAGTGCGCCGGTTCCAAGTAAGAAGCATGTAATGCAGTATTTGTTGTTGGTTGCGAGCTGTCTTAATATTTGTTGTTGCTGTTTTCAGCATATATCGAAACGTAGATATTTTTTTTAATTGTTTACATTTTGTCATGCCAAAGCCTTTCATAGCTTACTATAATGGCGTATTGGTTTTGCTCACATACACAAAAAGCAAAGGAACAGCGCTTGTATTGCTGCTCTGAGTCTCAAAGTCACAGTTATGCCTTTAACAAGGAGCAAAAAAAAAAACTCTCACTTCATTTTTAACAATCTCTTTTTGACTGTTTTACCCATTATTATATTTTTATACGTTATGTAAATGACAATTACTTTAAAAAGATTTGAAATGAATACGTGGTCGTGTTTCAATTTTGATAGGTTTTGAACTAATAAAAAGTAAAATAACAAAAATACCGAACTCCAAGGAAAATTCATAAACCATTCAAATAACATTAACTGCTGTAATAGGAAAATAATTAAAATCCATATTCAAAGCTTTTGATTTAAATATAAGTCAAGTCCATAAATGATTGCAGGTTTTATTTGGTATTAGAAACAAAATTGTGTCTCGTCATACAGAAGCCGGTAGATGTAAAAATCTGAAAAATAAAGCATAAGTTTATAAGATATATGAAATCAACAATGACAAGATTGTGGTACGGAATTTTCAAAATACAAAGGTGAATTAAATTTAGAAATTTCCAATAATTTGTTATAATACACATATTTACCAAATGTTACTTTTTCAATTTGGTGCAGGATCAACGACAAGTAATAAGATTTAACCAATAAAACTAACGCTATAATATTAATATAATATTATGGTAAAATGTTGATATCATTGGATTGACAAGTAGATGATTTAAATCGAATCTTCAGCATGATACATGTATTATTTTAATAAAAGCATTTACCTTTTTTTGGATTTAATTTACTCTGAGTCCATCAAATCTATCATGGGTTTTTATCACGGAACCAACTAAAAATATATATACATCGCTAGTTTTAGATAAGCAATACGCATTTATTTGAAAATTTAGAGATAAACTATGTGTACATGTAAAATATACTTGTGTAATTAATCCTTCAAATTTTAATTGGAGGCGATGGAAATAAAACTTCATTTTTCATAGCTTTGTTTGGTCTTATTTCGGACAAAACATACCCTAAATATTGTTTTCATACATGTTTTGTGTACATGTATAAAAAGTCAAAATTTGACGAATTATTTTTCAATTCTTTATAGTCTTTCAAGTTAACACAAATGTAAACTTATTTCCGGACAGATTCAGATGTTATTGTATATTTTGAAAGGGAATTTAAACGTATGGCACCGATCACTACGCAATACAAGTTCACTTCAGTCTTGTCATGACCTTTATCAGGCATGCCTGACAGAAAAGGAAAGCAACATACATAAAATGTTCGGTATACTAGTATTTGAAACCAAACGACTGAAATTGTGCACGTAAAACTGGTTTAAACTGGCACGTAAAACAGAGTGCTTATACCAAAGTCTTATTTTCTGGACCATATGGTTTACGTTGTTGTTCATACATGTATACATCTTTATTTGAAAGTAACGTTTAGGAGTTTGGTGTTGTTGATTGCTGGCGGTCTCTTGTACTGTATTCCGTGCAAAATGTGTGATTCCTGTGATTCTTTTTTATGCTTTATTATATTATCATACATGAGTACAGAAAAAGCAGATACCGTATATGGCAAACTATACTGTCGGGCTTGGAAGCCTGAGTACAAATTACATTTCATAACATGATTAAATGGTTTGTTGTTAACCGACTAAGATAAACAAGGGCGTCTTAATTTTTAATCAATTTATTTGTATTTGCGTTATCTTTGTCTGTTCATTATATTGATTTATAGATGCTGATGAAGAATTTGGTTTCTTCTGATAATTCTGAAATATTAGAGAAACATAGAAGGGATTAAACAAAACATACCACTACAAGCAACTTCCGTAATTTGATGTTTGAATGAAGTTTTCGATAATTCTTTAAAATTCTGCACCTTTGCGGACCATCCTCTAAAAACAGCTCTTTTCCGACCAGTTGATGCTATACCGTGAACTTCACTCCAGTCAATACCACTGCCTATCCCCACAGAAAATATTTTGACACCAGCATTCTTCAAGTTCCTAGCTGCGTTCAAAGTTTTACTTTTATGCTGAGATTTTCCGTCAGTAAGGACAATGGCAATTCGTGGTGCATGATATCGGTGTCCTGCAGGCAATGAGACTTAGTCATTCAAACAATTTACATTAGTGAGAAATTGTGCAAAGCAATAAAATTCCAATGATAATTACACAAAGTTATACTAATGATGCATATGATAATAAACGTGCACGTAACACGCATTTCTGGAAAAATGAGCAGGTAAGCTTGTCACGAAATAGAAGTTCCTTCATAATATAAGTTCCAAGTGGAAGAAATGTTCTGCGAATATTATTTCCACTAGATGTTCCCTATCACAATATTTTTGCCTACGGAATAAAGTTTATAGGGTTTTTTTCCAACAGGAACAGATTTATGGCATGGTGTATAACAAAGTTTCCAGTGGAACTTTTGTTAAGGCGGAACAATATACGTTGACAGTCTCGTGAGCAAAAGTTTGAAAACAGTTGAGAGCATAAAAACCAAACTGGCCTTAATAAACAGCTTAAACCGTTTCAGGTTAACTTTGCTTTTGTGCGTATACAAGTTTTAGCACAATTACATAGTTTTATGAATTTGAAATTTACAAAAAAATTATATCGTTTGCCAAAGTATTGACTACAAGGTAAAAGGTACCCTCGGGAATGGTAGTTCAACAGTAGTACTGGTATAGATCCAGTAAATAAGTCGTATGATTGTAAACACTATGTTTATATTGAATTATTTTCATCAACTTTGTGATGATCTTCTCAATTTGCAGAAGCTGTTAATCTTTCTTTTGGACCAATTATATTTTGTTGGCGATGTAATAGTGAGAAATGTTTATTGAATCTCTAATATATGCTTTAATAGAAAAAGTGTAAATGGAATATGTTTTGCGACATGTAAAGTATATCGTCACATAATATTCAAGCGGATGCACGCACTGTATACATATCTCTATTTTTAAACAGATATACATAAATATATTATAACATACCATATACATATGAGAAGCTATTATATCGAACATGATTCAGTCCAAGGTAAGTATTGGTCATGCCTCCTTCATACTTAATTCTTTTTATGGCACGTTCAAGATAGTATCTGTTGTTATAGTCCTTCAACTTTATTGCTGTTTTGACGGAAGATGAAAACACATCCACTCCAATTTGAGTGTTGAATGGTCCAATGTAAAAATTATCTGCTATGCTGGCAACAGTATTCAACATTATTTGAAAATTTCTCTTGCCTACACTTCCCGACATGTCTAGGAGGAAAACAATGTCGCGTTTTCCTTCACATTCTGGAAAAGAAAACAGGCCTCATAGTGTAAATTCTAATTAATAAGTCGAAATGTTCGGTTAAATGTAAAAGACATATATTATAATGCATCATACTGGGATATTAGATTAAAAAAACTTGACTATCCAACTTTTATTTGAAAAATTACTCCCTTTTAAAATTTGATAAAAATGGAGGATGACCGTTTTACTATCAGCCTTATAATACCTTTGGACGGTGAAAGAATAAAAAAGGTTCAGTTGATTTAAAAAAGACCATTAAGGATCCACTTAAGACGAGGTAGATGGCGATACTTTTAGATGTAGTTACTATATACGTACGTTCTTTTATGTACCCTTTTGTATTGCACAGTTCGAGATTAAAGGGGGATGGCTGATATCAAATTAGTTGGTATAACCCGACACATTTTATGTACCATTCCCACGTTGGGATTCAATTTAGTAATTGTTTTCAGATATATTTTTATGTGTTTGTCTTTTATGAAATTCATTGTCGGTGGCATGGTTTTGAAAGTCTCCTGTTAAATGCATTCTCATTTTTTATAGACTCTCGGATAAAATAAGAGTATGCCAACTGACAAAAGGTTCCATCGGAAACTGAGGGTCCATATTTCATAATGATTATTGAAATAAATATTTTACTTACTATCTTTTCTAGCATCGGCTGTGATGACATTCAATAAAATGAATAGTATACTCCCTATCAACATCCTCATTTTGATTGGTTGTTTTACTTTGCTGAATAATAGAACAGAGAATTTAACATTTGACTATAACGGAGGTGTTTTTATGACGTTTCTCCATATAATTAAAATAGAAATGCCAATGAGACAACTATCCACCAAAGTTAAAATGAAGTGGCTGTAACCAATTATAGGCAACCGTACGGCCTTCAACAATGAGAAAAACCCATACCGTATTGTCGGCTATAAAAGGCCCCGACATGGAAAATATGAAACAATTCAATTGAGAAAACTAATGGCCTAATTTATAACAAAACAATTTACAAAAAAAACAAAACAAATATGACGGACAACGACAACCAATGAACTACAGGCTCCTGGCTTGGGACAGGCACATACAGAATGTGGCGGGGTTAAAAAAAATTGTGAGCGTTCAACCCTATAGCTCCCCCTAACCTGGGACAGTGGTGTTACAGCACAACATAAGAACAAACTAAAAAAATCAGTTGAAAATAGTCGATTTATCTGTACAAAATATCGTATATGTATATAATTATGTGTTTGAAATTTATTACATGGTTTTGTAATGATCAACTATACAGAAAAAATTCTGCGAAACGAAGTGGTATGTGGAGTGTTTTTTTTTTTGTTTGTATTTTTCGTTTGTATTTTTTGCTTACTTTTGTTTACTGTTAATTTTTGTGTGTTTGTTTTAGTATAGTTTTTCATACCGTCGACCAGAATTCGATACCATTATTATTGGATAAATTTTGATTATTGGATGGAAAAGTAAGGAGACACGTGTTAACATAATGTTAAATGTGCACGTATGGAAAAATTTTAATTTTTTCACACCGTTCATTTACTTGTTGATTTTTAACAAGAGTTCGGTTTAAGTGTTAATTAAAAATTTATCGATACGATAATACAATTTAATAAGTATGTTTTAAAAGAAAAAAGAAAAAAAAACTTTTAGCTACTCACGCTACTCGTGTTGACTTTCACACTATAGTGACAACTACAGCAATATGTTACAAAGTCATATATAGTTACATACAACGCCACAAAAACAGTGTATTGAGTTTCAGGATGTTTATTTTTAAGATTCGTGGAAATTTCGCTATTCGCAGCAATTATTATGACTGTAGTTCTGAAAATTTATATATTTCTCACTAGGCAATCGATTCTTTTCTTCCGAGTTCAACGATAGAAGGCTAAATAACGATGGTCAACAGTTTCTTAATTTTGAGTTTTAACAAGTAACGTGTGCAGTAATGTTTTGGATATATATAATTACATTATCAAATATAAAGATTATACCCTTTCGAAAATACCAAAGACTAATGGATTATTTAATTTGAGTTTCTTAACGTCCAGTGGTAATTATTTCAATCATATTGAGTACGAGAACTGTTTTATTAACAATTAATACAATATGTAGGTTCTGTTAGTAAGTGGGCAAAGACGAAAGCCGAAAAATTGGAACAGCAAATGCAAAAAAAATTGTATTATGGATAGGGGAATATATTTTAACTTGTAACAGGCTAATAACGGACCCAAAAGTTGTAATTTCAACACACAGAAAAGGGTGGGTGTCAATATACACGAGGACCTCCTATGTACTATTGTGGTAGCTTGGTCGACTCTAGTGCGGGAGGTCGTGGGTTCAATACCCGACCGGGTCTAACCAAATACTTGAAACTGATATTTGCTGCTTCTTCACCCAGCAACCGCATTTAGGAGTAAGATCAAAGACGTGTCTGCTCGGAGTCAGAATAATCTGTCCGGGTAAGGTGGCATGTCTTCCTGCGGACTATTACTTTGTGAACTAGCTTAAGGATCCTGCTGAGCGAGTCGGTCTAGTATAGCAGTGTTTATAATTATATCATATTATCATGTTCTCGTCATGAAAATGCATTAAGTTGCAGCAGAACGTTAAACAGTCATCCAACCTTCCTTACGCGAGGCATTGGATTTACCCTCCTTGATGTAAATGTTATTTACTTTTTTTTAACAATATTTACGATAGTTTGCTCATTTATTTTCAAACATCTGGTAGTATTAATCAAGAAAAAAATAAACTAACCATTTACAACGGACGCATAACAACACTTGTAGAATGTTAAGACTCAATATGCTATTTGGTATGTCCATGATACGAACACTCAAGAAAATAAAGCTTAGTATGCATAACTCCAGCCAAGTCAAGCTTGAAACTTTGCGGTCATAAAACTTTCGAGCACGATTATCGTTCTCAGACTCAGAAATCAACCAATCAAAATACTGGATTGTGTGTTCCGAGCACGAATATTGTACTCCGAGTACTGAGTACCCTCCCCCTAACCTGAGACAGTGGTGTAACGGTACAACATAAAAACAAACTATAACTTGAGGCTCTAAAGAGCATGTGTCGCTCACCTTGGTCTATGTGCATATCTAACAAAGGACACTCTCCAACATTGTAGACGAGAATAGACTTCATGACAAAAATCTCTATTATTACTGATCTTTTAGTCTGTTTAGTTTCTCTCTATCTTCTTTAGTATTTGCTCAAAACACAAAAGAAGGTAAAAATCTCATTTAAGAGTAATCACTCCTATGAAGAGTGACAGTCTACTAACTATATCGGCAAAATTTGAGTTTTTAATAGATATTGCCTTGCTGATCATTTTTGTGATTTAAAGTGTCTATTTATCTATTATAATTCAAATCATTTAAGGCATAACGGAAAAAAATATGTTTCTCTCTAAACATGTATCATAGTTTTCATAATAATAGGCAAAAATGAAAAAAAAAGGTAAAATTTGTCATTTATGGGCAATAAATCCTATAAGAATTTGTCTGACAGTTTTGACGTATATGGACAATTGGTAGAGCTCATCATTTTGAACATGCTCATTTCAGATTTTCTCTATTTATAATGGTTCACAAAATAAAATTATAGACAAAACTTGCATTTTACCCCTATGTTCTATTTTTAGCCATGTCGGCCATGTTGGTTGATGGGCGAGGTCATCAGATACATTTTTAAAACTAGATACCCTAAGGATGATTTAAGCCAAGTTTGGTTTAACTTGCCCCAGTAGTTTCAGAGGAGAAGATTTTTGTAAAAGATTACAAAAAATTACGAAAAATTGTTAAAAATTGACTTTAAAGGGCAATAACTCCTTATAGGGTCAATTGACAATTTTGGTCATGTTGACTTATTTGTAGATCTTACTTTGCTGAACGATTTTGCTGTTTACAGTTTATCTCTATCTATTATAATATCCAAGACTCATCAGATAGATACAAACAGAAACATATATAACAAAAACACAGAGTGGACGTGGCAGGGTACTTATACATCCAAGTACCAAGTACGCTATCTGCCATAATCGTTGAAATCAATATATTAACACCTTTTAAGACATGAATGAAAAAAATTATAATAAGAAAAATAAGTTTAAATAATTGTGTGTTAAAATAGAGGGAATGGGGCGGCCTTAAATTTTTACGAAGGTTCAACAAAATTTGATTTAATCATCGTGCCAAAAGTATACACTACTGATCGGATATCTTTAAAAACATTTGACTCTCGGTCATATGTTGCGTCAAAACATTTCTTGTGTTGCGGGTGTTGAATACAACCCGCTGCATTTTTGCGCTTGTAATGAACTTCGAGCCGTAGTTAATTAGACTTTCTTTAAATTTTGGATCATTTGTATGTTTCGGAGAAGTGTGGCGTTCATTTGGCTGAAGTGGTATACATTATTGTCTAGGGGACAATCTGAAGACCACCTCCGGGTGCGGGATTAATTCGCTGCGTTGAAGACCCATTTGTGACCTTGGGCTGTTTTCTGCTCTTTGGTCGGGTTGTTGTCTCTTTGACACAATACCCGTTTTTATTCTCTATACCATCAATTAAATGGTGAACCGTCAGACGTTCCAATTGGCTAAGCTCTTTAAAGGTTTTCAGTGATAATGTTTTTCAATTGATTCATCAAATTGCATGTAATTTTGCCGGAGTAACACGGCGAGTGAAACAGGGACTTCTGACCCTTCCGGAACATCTGAGTTTACATCCGATACTTTTGTGTTGACTTAGGGCTATTTTCATATTATATAATTTTTCGACAGGTTACCTACTCTGTGGTTATGACATTCTGGTACTCGGTCAAGTAAGAGCAACAAAAAGAAGTAAAATTAAGCTTACAGTCGGTGCAATTTGTGGGAAATTTAATGTCATATGTATTCTCTACACGAAAAAATCATTTGAAACTGTTGATTTTCCCCAACATTGCGTAGATGTTTACAATTTAGGAAGAAACAATCCGAAAAACATACTTTTAAAAATAAATATATGAGGAAAACGATTTATTTTCAACTGAATACAATTTATATTTTTATTATGCAGATTGAAATTTACATTTACATATTGATCGTGAATCATTAATATACAAGTCATTCATTGACAAACATAATTACCCAGACACACACCACATACACTCTCGCATATATTCAATTTAAAAGTGAATTATGTACACCCAACCTATTTATTTTAGAATTAAGAACATTTTGAATATGGTAATAATATTTCGAACAAAAATTACAACTTTATACCTGTTTGAATCATAATAAGTATTATTATACTTGACTATAGTAACCCCAAATAAAATTTGCATAAAAAATAACATGTTTCCACGGGAAACTTCGCGTAGCCAAAATAACTGTTAAGAAATTTGCACGTAGAAAAAATAACCCCTTTTATTACGGGGGGAAATGCGCTTATGTAAAATTAGTTTGGTAAGACGTCATACTAACCCTTTAAATTTTGGCGCGCTTTTCACGTCGTAAAATAAGTAGTTGTCGTCTGAATAGGTGATTACAATTTTTTCTCTATTTACAATTTTGGATATTCAATTTTGACGATGGCCATAATTTTGCACTCCTTCGCCACAGAAAACAACAGAAAAATGAAAAACATCATAACATAGAATACAACAACAACAACAAACAGAAATGCACCAGTAGAAGTATACAGTAATTTCAGGGTATTGCTCATTCCTTTGATCCTGTATCTTTTTGTTCTATTGGCTGCTGATCTTCTATTGAAGCTGGAAGAAAAGAAATAAAGAACTAAAAAAAAAATTTCAATGCAAAGAGAACTGATTTTCTTTAATATGAAAATACAATTGGGCTGTTGTTTAGTTGCTGTCTCATAGACATTTACCCCGAACCTCCTTGTGTTTATACGGAAATTGTTGCTTGGAACATTCAAACAGAAAAGAAATTTGCTGCCTCTCAGGAATGTCTTGCCAAAATTGTAAGGTAAATCTAACATATAGGTACTGGTTTTGGTATAAACTGAAAATTAAAAAAATATGATATGCCATTAGTGCACACATCACATGTATCTGGGAAAAAATTCAAGTACGCACGAGAACAAAAGTTTATTAGCCAAATATTTAAGAAGTTGCAATCTTACTTTTAACACAATGACATAATTATATTAACAGGAAATTTACAGACAAAAATATATTATTTAAATCATGTCAATAACGAATCACTGGCTTTTTGGTATATAATAATTCACAAAAAAAAACTCTATCCTCAATGAGTGCTGTAATTATAAAACACATTTTTGCCAACTTTTTGAATTTAAGTTTTTATGTAAAAATAGTCTACTTACCGGTCCTTTTTTGTTTTGTTTTTGTAGATGAGGTAGAACTTGTTTTGGAAAATATATTACCAAAGACCGGTCGAAGAAATTCTGAAAATGACCGTCTTCTCTCTTTTGGTAAATCAGTTGTTGGATCTTGTTCAAATGAAACTTCTTGTGTCGCAATATCCTTTTCAACTTTAGAAACGTCAGAATTATTGCGAAAGAGTAACAATTTTGAACCTCTTTTTTTCTTTTTAGATTCTTTATTTGATTTTATCTTTTGGTTTGAATTTTCACTTTCCGCAAAGGTAGGAGAGTCGGAAGTTGAAATATCAGATGTAATTTCTGGTGTTTTGGGAATATCGTTTAACACATCAGGTTTAGTTACTTCATTATTTGCGTTATTCAGTGGGGACTCAATTATTTCAGATGTATCTTCAATTTGTGCCTGTTGTGTTTTAACAGTTGGATTCTCCTTATTATTTTTAATGACACTTAGTGTAACATATTCGTCACTCTTTGGTCTAGTGTTAGCTTCGTTCACACTAAGTAGATGAGAGTCCGTTTTCGTTTCTTTCGAATTCCCTTTTAGTGTAATTTCCTTATCATCAGTGCATTTTGAAGTATCTGTTTCATCTGAAAGTATAATTCATGAAAAGTTTTTGAATAAATAATCAATCATTTTTTTTTTTGGGAGAACCGTATTAATTCAATGTAGTTATAATCCAACCCCCCCCAAACCCCCCAACCCACCCCCTTCAAACCACCCTAAAAATATAATTAAAATTGTAAGGAAAATTAAGGTATTGGAATTACATTTAGAATAGTCCACGAAAAATGTCAAGGTTGAAAAGTGTTCTTCGATATTATAGCGCCACTGCTGTTTTCTGATTAAAAAAAAAAGAATAAATTCAAGTAAGTTTTGAGATATCATTCTGTGTTAATGCCTCACTGTATTTGACGTTTAAATGGAAAAAAAAATACCGGCAACATAAACCACACTCCTTTTCTCAACGGCAGAAGAGGAAAAAATAAAATTTGGAGCCACATTGCAAATGTGATTGTTCTAACAACAAATGACAAGGTATCGCCAAATTTCCTAGGAAGCGAAAACTTCTACATCGATAGTTACTGGAAACAGCTAATATATAAATCTTACAGAGAGTACAATATCAAAATATTAGCTGTATCATAAATATATACCTGAAGAGAGAGAAGACAGAGAAACAACATCTTCATCGTTGACTTCTATTTCTATTGGGACATCATCAAAAATACCTAAAAGTATTCATTTAAATTGTTCATTAAATATTCTCATCAAATAATAATAATGCAATGATGACATTTAATTAAAATATGGAATGTCAAAATCTATGTCAAAATGGGGACATTGTTTATTTTTACATTTAAGGGACTCGGTAGCCGAGTGGTCTAAGTAGTCGAACTACTGTATCACTAGCCTGTCAACACTTAAATTGTGAGTTCGAATCCCGCATGAGGCAGGTGCGCTCATATGAAATAGGTACATAATCATATTAGCGAATGATACTGATTTCAATGCGCTTTTGAAAAAAGCCTTCTGTTTATCAGGTACACTCGACACCTAAATTGTAAAAAAATATACAAATATGTTTAGGCCCAAAAGGATATCAACAACACAGTAATAATTAAGTCTATTAATTTCGTCTGATGCAGATTTTTAGATACCTTTTTTTATTTTTTTTAATGAGCACTCAATGCAAAAAATAGGAAAATAGCAATACAGTAGGTGGTCTGGAAAAAAAGGGTTTTACGTTGTTTAGTGCAGTTTGGTATTTAAGTCATCAATGCATCCGATCGGTTACTCTGTAACACAATTGAATTTTTTTACAAGGAATCTCCGCTTTACCATAATTCTCTGTAAAACAAATCTTAATTGTGCCAATAGTGGAACGGTTCGGAACTGCTGACCGGTCCAGAGAACCAGTGTTAACTCTTGGTTATGGTCAAATTTGTGTCGCGAAATCTTTTGCTTTCTGTGTGATGTTTTGATGACTGCTCGTCTTTTTTCCTTTGATCGTGGTGTTGTCTATGACTTAAGATTTTTCATTTGTTATCTCCCTTCTTATTCATATTACTTTCATATTCAGCAAACTAATTTATCTAGAACTGTTGTTATTTTAAGGAGTGATAACAGATGCGGATCCAGGATTTTGAAAGGGGGGGGGGGGGGCAAAACTAAACAAAATTTGTAGTGAAAGCAGTAAAAAGTCTGGATTAACCATAAACTAAGCTTCATAAAAGGGGGGGGGGGGGCACCCCGCCCCCCTAAATCCGCCCCTAGATAATTTACCGTTACTAATAACAATTACATAAAATGCTCGCACCTTCACCACATGTATGCCATGGTATATGGTATATACATGTATATTAAAAATCAGTTGTGACATAGAGGTGGAACTCATTTCCCAACAATTAATTAATTTATATCAAAGCCCACACCCTATTACCGACTGTAAAAACGGCAAACTATGATCTGTGTTCCCGCTTATCATTTAAATCAAGTGCTTTTGCTATCACGTGTACAGCAGATTTTTTGTTTGTCGTTCCGATTTTAATTGCAGTACAATGGATTTTGTAATCATGTACAGCAAATTTTGATCTGACTTTTAGTGTTATCTGTTGCATCTGTAGTGCCGATAGTCGGCAATAGGTTGTGGGGGACATTATCAAAATCTTGTCCGATTTTTCTTTAAATTCACAACATCACAGCTTTATGTGTGTATAATAAACTAAGGTTTAATAATCAATGTTATATCAATTAGAAACTTTACCATTCAGTTTCTGCTCCGTTATTTTTTTTAACCCTACGAGGAAAAACCGATTATTTTTCTACCAGTTGCTATATTTATCAATTGAATCTATTAACATACAAGATAAACTTTCTGTTTATTTGTAATAAACAATTTATGAGTTCAAGGAATGATAGAACATATTACACTTTGACCTAAGAGTAAACAAACTTTACATGGCCTATGGTCATACAACATGCTAATCAGTCAAATTCATACAGAAAATATTTTGTATATGTGACCTAAAACTTGTTTCTTAACCAACATGCTGTAATATTTACTGGAGGGCTTTATAGGGTGATACACAAATCAAAATGAGATGTCGTCGTGTGCATTGACATTCGTATTATATATACATAATATTAAAAGATTAATGAAATTAAATTCTACAAACATTGACAAATATTCGCCCTTTTCTATCCAGGTACAGATGTACCAGAATAGCTATCCTATGTCTCTTTTTGTTTGTTATTCGTTCGGATATCTAGACAGTTGAAATGTCTGAAAGAGGGGGCGGTGATTATGTCACGGAATAGAAGTTCCTTCATAATATAAGTTCCATTTGGAAGAAATATTCTGTAATATTATTTCCATTGGAACACATATTACAGTATTTGTTCTTTACGGAATAAAGGTTATAGAATATTTGTTCCAACAGGAACAGATATTATGACATTGTTTAAAACAAAGTTTCCAGGGGAACTCCTGTTAGGCGGAATAAATATACGTTGACATGTATACTGTATATGTACATGGACGATCAGTTTTGTCTGTAATAGGTTGATACACGTTTATTAAGTAATTTGGGCAATGTTTTTAAAGAACACTTAAAAGCACTGAAAAAGGATGCACTTACCTTTATTAGCTATAGGTATCTCCCTTTGAGTTTCAACTAATGACGGTGTTATCGTTTTGCCTTTGCCTTTCTTTTCTTTCTTTTTCTTCTTCTTTTTTTCATCATCAGATTTACTTGAAGATTTTGAAAGAGTAATTTTTAGCTTTTTGTCTCCATTCTCCCTTGAGGTTGATGTTTCCTTTTGACTTTTAATACTGTTTTCATCAGTTTCCTCGCAAAATGAGTTCAATATCTGATTACTTACTGGAGTCTCAAGATTACTTTCATCTACTACCTTTTCTTTATCTGTTTTCGCTTTTTTCTTTGTACTTTTTTGTTTCTTTTTGTTTTCTTTTTGTTTTTTCTTTTCTTCCTCCTTTTGTTTTTTGTTCTTTTTTCTTTCAAATTCATCACTTTTGTCTAATACCATAGGAGATTTCTTTAAAATATTAATATCTGAATCATCATTACCATTTTTACTTTCTGAAACATCATTCTCAGTCACTAAAATTTGGTCATCAGGGTTATTTTCATTAATCGTTTTGTTTTGATTATCAGTAGGAATGATCTTTAAACTTTCCTCTGTAGCTACACTGCTGATGTCAGTGTCTAATTTGGCATTCTCACTTTCATAGCTTCGACCTGTTTCTTTTGGTTCTTTAATTATACTTGACTGATCTGAAACTCTTCTATCTGTTGTTTCAGTGTCATCACTAACAATTGAGTTGCTGTTAATGGTTGAGGTAGAAGGATTCAAAACAATTGTCTCATTAACACTCTCATTTTGATTATTGTTCATTGTTGATGCAACATGACTGAGAACCACCGTATCATCAACTCCATCGCTGAGGTTGTTGATTGTTGTAATCGTTATATTAACACTATCTCCATTACTAACAACTTCAGTAATAGTGTTGTTATTGTTGTTAAATATCCGATTTACAACATTTTGTGGCAGCTCTGGGTGAATCTGAGCTGTTCCATTATTATCCGTGTCGCTTGTTTTTAATTGGTTATCTTCAGCATTTGAAATTTTGTACGATTCATCAGAAATGGTATGATCAATGACTGATTCACCTAATATTGTTTGAGACTCTCGTCTAATTCTCGCTGACAGAGTTATATCTGCTTTCGGATCACCGTCACCATGCGTGGTTTCATTGTTTTCTGCAGTTGTAGAAGGAATTGAACTTTGTGCTGCATCAATCAGGTCGAATGCCTCTTGAAGGTAGTTTTTATCTTCTTTGCTTGGACTTTCTATCTTAATATTGATATTTGAGTCTAAATTGTTTTCCTCTTCGACGCTACTATTATGTGGAACTTCTGAATTCTGTTCTGACCACTTTCGGTTCATGTCCATTTTCCCATCGATTGTTGTAGATGTATCTGTCGAAGAAATCGTTGGACTTAAAGTAGCATCAAGCTTATCGTCGTGTATTTTTTCTCTCTGTTCGTCGATGTTTTTGATTTCGTCTGATTGTTCGGTAATTATTGTAACCATAGAAGCTAATACCGAACTATTTCCAAATTGTGTTTGTACCTGACTAATATCTGCTGAATCGTTTGCATTCTCTTTGTTAACTTCATCTTGAAATTTATCACCGTCATCTTTATGTTTAGCAAAACCTATTGTGTCTTGACAAGGAATATAATTGACATTAGCGTAATTTTCGTTTACTATCATATTACTGGTTTCCTTTCCCTCTTTTAGTGAAACCTTTTTGCTAACCCTTTTCTCCTTCTTTGATAATTTTTCCCTTTTCTTTGATTCTTTCCGCTTTGTAAAATCTTTTTCTTTCTTGGACTTTTTCTTCTCTTTAATTCTTATATTTTCTTCGTCCTTAATTTCGCCTGACGTACATTCTCCTGTATTTTGATTTTCGTGGTTGACTTCCTCGGATGTTAGTTTTTCTGCAGCCTCCGCATTCTGACAAGATAGTTTCGAATGGACGACTGTAGCAGTGTCTGTCTCGATTGGGATAGTATCCACTAGTTCAGTTACATTATTGCCTGTTTCATTTTCTTTTGACTTTTCATTTGAATGTGGTGAATTTTCTTTTTGCTCATTTTCAGAGTGATGTGTATTTATATTTTCTGGTTCCTCCAGACCTTTATTATCATCTAGTTCTGTTGGGCTGGTATCAGGAAGAGGTGGTTCATTCTTAAGTTTAGTGTTTGTTTCAATTGAACAAATAGCTGAAAAGTATTGGCAAATACTCATGAATCGGACATAAATAATACTTTAAATATATAGGAATCTGATGTTCAGTAGTTGTCGTTTGTTGATGTGGTTCATAAGTGTTTCTCGTTTCTCGTTTTTATATAGATTAGACCGTTGGTTTTCCCGTTTGAATGGTTTTACACTAGTAATTTTTTGGGGACCTTTATAGCTTACTGTTCGGTGTGAGCCAAGGCTCCGTGTTGAAGACCGTACTGTGACCTATAATGGTTTACTTTTATAAATTTTGACTTGGATGGAGAGTTGTCTCATTGGCACTCATACCACATCTTCTTATATCTATATAGTAAATAAAAAGGGATAGAAGTAATCGCACAAATATCACTCAGTACAACAGGCTACAGCAACCACCAACACCCGACCCCTAAAACAGACATACAAACAAACAAAAGTAACGAACAATATAAGCTTCGAACTTCTACGTCATTTGGTCTCTGATGGAGAGTTGTCGTATTGGCAATCATACCACACCTTCTTATTCTATATATGGTCCAGATAATCTTATTTGGTACAGGCACAAAATGTAGTGGGGTTAAACCAGTTATGCGTGCTCCTCTTTTGTCTATCTAGACCATTATTTCGTGAAACTAAAACATATTAATATTATAACATGTACATTGCAGCATGTACCAGTAACTTGAACAAGGAATAATGGGCAGTACATTTTGAAAATCAGGGTCAAGATGTACTCGCTACTACAGAAATCTAATTTAAGCAGCTACAACTGTTTATGGATACTGCCGCTCAAGAAAATGAAAAAAAAATTTTACCCCTAAAGGGTGTAGCTAATAGCATAATTTAATATTATGAAATTCCAAACATGTCATTCTGAGATTATCAGACCAGGATATAAGTTTTGGCACTTTCTAGTATCAAGGTATTTAGAAAAAACTCTGATTGGTTGAATTTGTTGTTTTTATGTTAAATCAATGCTGATCGAAGTCAATGGAACGTAAAGTTGACAAATTGCCTTTTGATGTAAAAGTTAGATAACAAGATTACTATACTGAAAAGTTTCGGATGTATAGCATGATACATATATCACAATTAACAAATAAGAAGATGTGGTATAAATGTCGATGCTTTCCATCATAGACCGAAAGACAAGGGTCCCTTGTCAACAAACCCTAATTAAGTTATAAAAGACCCGGGGGGGGGGGGGCAAAATGTTCGACAATCCAAAAGAGAACAAGTATACAAAATTCCGATTGGTATATTAAAAATTGTGCTACGGGTTGTAGATTTAAGGTTTTGTAGTATCAAAGTTATTTAAATTCATGATACCGATTTCAATCCACAACACCAATTTAATATTTTTATCATCATATCTATTTAAGATATATATAGTTATATGTAGTTGTCGTTTTTGCGAGTACATTTTCTAGTTTTGATCATTTGTACACGCTTTGAAAAATAAATTATACATATAGAAAACTTCTTTCATGACTCAGTAAAGGACATACTATTTGATTTTGAAATTTTATCCAATTCATACTATTTTCTGAACACCTGTCTGTACTCCATACACCAGGAAGTCACGGAAGTGTTTTAAAAAAGAATCAGATACTAACTTAATGCATATGTAGCACTTTCCGGAATTCCCTTGAGCAGGATATTCTTAGCTCTCAATTGTCGACCTATGTCTGAAAGTATTGAACCCTTGGTGTTTTAAGAATGAACGATGAATGAACGTGTTTTATATCAATGACTACATGGTTTATTTAAAAGATGTTTACTTGGATATACAATGGGGATGTGGCATGATTACCAATGAGACAAATACCTCCACCACAGAAGAGAGGACTTTGAAAATATATACTCGCGGGATTTTGTTTGATAATGCATTTTTTAAAAATATGTTGTCTACCAAAAATATACAAAAGACTTATAATTTTCATTCGTTCTACCTTTTTTTTCAGTTGCACCATCATTTCTTCCAATTTTTAAAGCGTTTTCCCCATTCAATGTAACCGTCATTTCAAACATACAATGTATATATCATAAATAATACAGAGACATATCATTAAATGAAAAGGACAAAATGTGAAAAGGTACCGAGGGGGCAATAAAGAATCAAGGAAGTTTTCTAGTAGCCCAGCTTTCAATGTTTTATCAATATTTGGAAGTACAATGTTAGATGTACATTATTTATTTTTAGAAAAATGGTTCATTTAGGATTGTTTCTATTTTAGAAGTTTTACTAGTCCTATTTAGAAGAGAAAACTAAGAACGGGACGTTGTTAAATTAACATGTCTGAATGCGCTCAACCTTTCCTTAACCTTGGACAGTGGTGAAACAACCATGACAACACAACATAAAAAGAAACAGTAAAGAATCATCAGTTAATCCATCTGAGCATGATTACATATGCCTACGACAAAAAACTGTCATGAAACTAAATAGATATAGAGGCAAACCAGACCAACTGTACCAATATTTTCTTTATCTATTTTTGTGTGCATATGTTTATAAGAGTCTCTACATATACCATAGACTGAAAATAGATAGAGTTACATGGACATAAGTCTCTTGTCGAGATATAAAAAACTACTTTACAAAAGTATGGGTATAGATAAATGTTTTATCCGTTGTATCTATCCTTCATAAACTTACCATTATCAGCTTCTGATGCAACGATTTGCTTTACGTCTTCTGGATTAAGTTCATCGCGCTCATCTATAATTTCGAAGGCATAGGACTTTTTAGACTTTTTTGAGGTTTCTGAAAAAGTAACGAATAGTACACAGAAGGCGTTACCAATGAGCGAGTGTCACACACATTGGAGTGTTCGAGTTATACCTCAATTTCTTTTTTTAATTTTTAAACTTTGAACACAATGATGAAAGCTAGGAATTTCAGTACGCGGACAGATTTCTCTCTCTCTCTCTCTCTCTCTCTCTCTCTCTCTCTCTCTCTCTCTCTCTCTCTCTCTCTCTCTCTCTCTCTCTCACAGAAATATTGTTTATGCTTATTTTTACTTGTAGTGTGCAAAAATATATGTTTGAACACTGTTATTGCATAAAAATGTAATAAGATATCTAGTTTTGTGCATTTATTTGTCAAATAAGCAGACAAGTAGTGTGTCATTAATCTAGTAAATGTCCCGACGAACATGTCGTAATATTGCAATAAAGAAATGAGAAATGGACTATTTGAATCTATCTATAAATGTATATAAACCATTTGATAGTGTTATTTTCTGTCATAATTGAATAACATCATGCGCAAATTGACATCTTTATTAATGCAGGGATAGCCAGTACTAACAAAGTAACTATTACGAAGTGATCTATTCGAAATTGAGTACATGTGTTCAAGAAAGAGGGATGAATTGCAGTTTAATATCTATATTTTTTTCGACATCCCCACAAAATGATTTAATTGATATATGGCCTTGATAGATATTTTTTACATGAATGTTTCCTTTATCAATGTAACTATTCAGAAAATATGGATTTTCTGAAGCTTTTTAGTTTTTTGGTTTTAATAAAATATCTACTGAAAACGGTTAGTCACAAAGTTGCTTCAAAAACAGATCGGAGAAAATATAGATGGGATTTCTTTTTTTACTTCTTCGCAAGTAAAATAAAAGATTTGCTCAACAATCAAATACATTTCTTTCCATCTATATCGTCTTTCTTTCTTTCCTCAATTTCTGTCAAAGATCAATTACTGAAATGTTTACTTTACTTCCGGTGGCAATAGTTCATGCATATTCAGGACGAGTACAAATTAAACAATAAGACAACTAGACAGATTCTGAATTGAATTATTGTTGTACTAAATTACAACATGTTTGGTAAGGTAAACAATTTTAAAGTGCGAAGAGCTTGACACTCTTCCAACATCATCAAACAGGGCGGTTTCATTGAAGGAGTCGACATTCCATGTTTAGAATAGAAAACAAACCTAGAATATACATACCATTCCCCATATCTGAAGGTATCCTTTGGCTGAAAGAAATGGAAATCAAGGTTACTCTAGATCCACTCAACCATAGAATATTATTTAAAAAACAACAAGATATATATGCATAATGATAAAAATATAATAACAGTGCGTCAATTGTGTCTGATATCTTTGTTGGTAATAAATTGTCGATAATTTCACAGAATAATTTTGTAGTAAAAACAAATAAAAAGGAAATGAAAGGAAAATAACGTCATTATGTAAATAATTATGATAACTAATGAATCAATCAACCCTTTTATTGTCATATAAATCAACAAAATATTTGTGGTGATCATTTACCAAATTTAGATACATGCCAAGACAATAGAGAAAAACGTGTATTTCAGTATAAAACAGAAACAGTGAATCCTCTCTACCATCACCAATGCATGTTTAACTGTTTAGCGAGGGCCTTGAGGGAAGTTCTCAATTTCTGTTTTCTTTTGATTTTAAGGAAATTTTTCTTTATTTTTAAAAATAAAGCTTATTTTGAAAAATTATCATGAAAATGATTTTACTATTAATTTTTTCTGCAATAATATGATTTCTTTATTCTAGACATCGTTCACTTCTGAAATCATAATTGTATCACTTAATTCTCTTATTTTCCGCAGTTATTTTTTTTTATACTTTTGCACCCAATTATTCTCTATTCTTTATTTTTTGGTCTAATTTTTCTTTTTTCATCTCATTATTTGTCCATTCTTCTTGATGTAAGATCAGATGCCTTTTACTTCTTTATTTGTTGGTGAACAGATTAGAAATACATGTTTTTTTTCAATATCCTTTAATTGTTTTGCTACTGGCTATTTAGATCTTGAAGTTCACTTTTTATGATATTTCAAGTATTCGAACATACAAACACTTCAGTTTCTAAACGTGTAAAGCTTTCATATTTATAAATTTTACTGCATTATCGTTTTGTTTAAATACTGTTATATATTAGTAGAAAATTTCGATTTCAAATAAACACATATGAGAAACTAAAAAAAAATCCATTGTAGAAATTAGGAAAATAATGTATAATATGATTGCTAATGAGATAAGTCAGATACTAACATCTTTTGAGTATATTTCGAAATAAGTACGGCAGTTTTTAGCTAGAAAGTAGTTATAGAATGGACAAAGAAATTTAAGAAGTAATCCTTTAATGTTGTATGTTTAATAATAGTTGTGTTACTGCCTAAATTGACGAATTCATTTCATAATATTATTAATACTAAAATAAATAAATTAGTTGATCAATTATCTAAAGTTAGAATTAATGTACCTTGCAGATTTAAATTTATCTTCTGTGAAATATATTAATCCTAATACACTGATCTCCCGCCAAACACAGGTCTGCTGTGTATTGATGTATGATCAAACAATTTTTATGTTGGGTGGGACTTCTTCACATATCAATAATAAATATGACAGGTGTCATGGATCACTGAACAGAATGCAGGTACATGTATTTCTAAGACTTGTAATTTAATATAGATGTTCCTGTTATGACATTATATGTTTTCTACAAATACAGTGATTTTCATGTAGATTATGTCAATAACTTTTACCCTTCAGTGAAATATTTTCCCTGACTTTTCATTTTATATTTACAAATGATATACGGGGGACATAATAATCTAATGGCGCGCACATCTTTTAAACCTTCCATTAAAAAAAAACTCTTATTATTTCATGCGTTTCTTCGGTTATTAATTAAATTAAAATTAATTGAAAACTCTGAAAAATTGAAAATTTAAAGTTGATTATTTCCCTTTGGCTGTAAAACACTTTTTTGGTATCAGCTAATCTGGTCAATAGAACAGAATGTTATCAATTGGCGTCTATTGTTTGTCTTTTGCACATTTAGAAAAAATCTTCTCTATAACATCTTGATAGCGTGAATCGGAATTGCCTTGGAGCATTCAAGAGGAAAAAAATCGATCTATATCCCTAATATGACCACTATTACTAAAACACATCTGCAGACCCAGATACGCATTTCTACAATTAATGTTTCTTCAGTGATGACCGAGGCCTATATATTTGAAAGCCCAAAACACATAATACATGCATTGAAGAGCTGATAAAACCAAAAGACCCAAAAGTAAAGGCAAACCCGGACCTTAATTTATTAGTCGTTCCATCATTTTACTTTTTTTGCTGTAAATAAACTCATCATAGATACCAGGATTAAAATGTGTCTTGCCATACAAGTGGGAGGTTTAGCTATCTATAAAACCAGGTTAAACCCGCCATTTTTTTTTTCGGATAATGCCCAGTCAGGAATATGGCAGTTGTTTTTCACTTTTCCGTTGATTGATGGTGTTTAATTTTGTCTTCTTTTATGAATTTTTTGAATTTGCCATGGAGTTCGGTATATTTTTTATACTTTTTTGTACTCCAGGTGCGAGAGGCTCATTAGTGACGCTCGAATAAAAAAGTTAAAAGGGCTAAATGAGGAATGAAGTTGAAGAGAATTAAGGAAACAAAATTCCGAAAGGTTTTACTAGAACGCATATAAATTACAGGGACATTAATATAAAAATCAGAGGATATGGTATGATTGCCAATGATACAACCAAATGACGTAGAAGGTTAGCAACTATAGGTCACCGTACGGCCTTCAATAATGAGTAAAACCCATAGAGCATAACAAGCTATAAAAGGTCCCTAAATGACAAATGTTAAACAATCCAAAAAAAGAAAATAAATGGACTGATTTATGTACAAAAACATAAACGAAAAACAAAATATGATATACAGTAACAAACGACAACCACTGAACGTTTCCTTGTTTACCTAATAAAGTCACTTTTTTTTTCTGTAAGTAATCAATTTCAATATTTTTTCACGAAACAAATTAATTATGTGCAGGTTTTAGTATGATCATTAAGCCAAAAAAAAACCACTTACCAATTTACAATAGAATACAATCCACGAAGAAAACTTTCTAGCTTACACTTGCCACATATTATATTCAGTGAAATAATCGTCAAAAAGGTAATGTATCATTTTATATACGTACATTTGTTTATCAGGGAAAGTATTTAAGGTATTCTGGATATACAATGTCAGTATATATAGTTCTGTAATTTAATGCTGTAAATAATAACAAATGTCCGTGTCATTTTTTTAAGGTTGCTCTAATTTTGTAAGATAATTTGTTTCTGCTCTAGTAATTTGTAGTAAACGACTTTTTGAATAAAACATCTACATTAACTTGGTTTTGTGTAGAAATTAAATCGACAAATTTGTATTTAATTCATATAAACAAGGACCTAAACACAGTAAAACTGTCTGAATGTTTTGGTATCCCTGTAAAACTTGTCTTTATGGAGCAATAAGGAAGTACAAACTGTTATGTGAATTCGATTGCACATTTACATTGTCTCAATGTATGTATTGGCATGCAGTAACAAGTGCGAACTGAAAAGCGGCAGCAGTAATAAGGAAGCGACGTTTTTGTCGTTGGACAAGCAGTCTGCCATGAACTGTCTTAAACAACAACAACTAAAAATGGTACCAAGGTTTCCCCAACATCCGAATAGTACTACACCTCATTAGTCCAACTTTAGTCCGCATCTGTGGTCTCGTTTTAGCGTGTTCGCCTCGATTGTGGGAGGTCGTGGGTTCGAACCCCGGCCGGGTCAAACCAAACAATTTAAAATTGGTATTTGCGTCTTATCCGCTAAGCACACGGCATTTAGGAGTAAGAGCAAAGTCTGTTTGGCTCGGAGTCATAATAATGTATCCGGGTTGAGAGACATGTATTCCTGCGGACTGTAACTAGCATTTTAAAATCCGACTCAGCGTGTTGGTCTAGTACAAAGCAGGGTTGATATTTATATAACATTAACATGTTCTTGTCCTGAATATGCATTCAATTTACCGCTGGACGTTTAACAGCTATATATTCACCTTCATCATCATTGTTAGTCAAATAATGCGTCTGTCTTGACATTCCAATAGAGGAACAATAAAATTGCGAATGAAAACGAGGATGTGTTTTTTATTGTACTGGTTTATTGCTAATAACGTGCTGTGAAAAATATTTTCTGCATCTGCTAATATTCGTGCAGCTAGAACTAAGATTTTTGGTAGAAGGGTCAGATGGCTTAAGTCCCTCGTCTATAGATATACAACAGTACCCATTATGGACCGTAATGAAGCATTAAGTAGACCTCGATTAACGATAGAGTCAGCATGGACCCACGTAGAACTGTAATATTTCTTTGGTAACAAGCATATATATATATATAAAACTTTTAACAATTAACTTTCTACAAAGTTAAGGCTGAAGTACTCACTAAATGAAGTCGAACGTATGTACTCGTATACATTTCACATGTTCAGGTGATTTTGGATATTCTCCGGAGCAGATATAAGTGACTGCTAAACTATGAAACACTTTATGATTGTAAAACTTTGTTTCACTCAATTGTTTATTATTTATGTATGTATATGTGTGTAAAACTAAAGTAGTAGCATTTTATATGATAGGAGCTGTCCTTACCATATTGAAAAACAACTCGATATAGCATAAATGAAGAAAAGTGTTTCCAATTCACAAATACATGTACCATGCAACACCAATGATTCTAATTATCCCTAGAGATGGGTAAGGTACAATGGGTTGAAAGACCATTAATTGGGAATTATAGAAGAGGAATGAAAAATTCTGGCAATGCCAAATCAGATTGGTCAAGTGGACACATGCCATTTTGTTTTAATTTTTTTTCACTTTTCAGGGATAGAAATTACCAGTCTTTAATCCAGATGAACTATTTTAAGTTTAATACCACTCAAGAACACATGTTTAAAATACCCCATGTTCATAAAATCTAAAACCTTGCTGATATTTAGCTTATAGTGTAACTTTTGCTTTTTGAAAACGTAAGGGGTATTCTAAATCAAGTACTAATACATCCTTGTCATTCATTTTTTTCGGTTTGAGCGATCCAGATGATGGTAAATCCAGAAAAGCAATGCATTCAATTTACTAAATATAATTTTCATTTTTAAAATACGTTTTAGTTGTGTAATCGATGATTTTGCTGGTTGTTTATTTTATTTTTGGGGACAGTAGTAGTTATATTAGGAGCTGTACATTGATTACCATTTCGACAAATCATACCTACTAAAGATCAAAAGAACAAATCTGTATATAAATATCACCTAATGACCATCAAACAATGGACAAACAACCACACCGTTAGATAAAACTACAATAGTCCCCAGATAAACCAAGCAAGAAGAAAGGAAATCAACGCACAAAGGCATTCAATTAACATCCAAATATTTCCTTGGGACTTGATTGCCTACAACTATCATACAAAACAAGAGACCATAAGGAGTCTTTACTTGACTTATGTTTTGTTTTATGGTTGATATATCATGTTAATGAATCATGTATTTCATTTCAGTTAGAAAAACAAATCGGACACCAGCCGTCTCTGTACTCCGGAAGTAAAATCCATGCCAAAGAGGGGCATCCGTTTGGCTGTGTGGGATGCATGAATACAAAACACGTTCGCGGTCGAAATAGAGACGTTTAATACAGCGGCTCGAGTAGGTAGACTTCCACGCTCTATGCACAGGTTCGTAGATAGCCTGTTGCAATGCAAAAATTTCCGTCACTACCCAATACTCTTATCTTCTAGTGGCAGACGAAATTCCATTCAACCCGGTCTTTATGCAACCTACCTATTGTATTTGTTGTTAATACACCGCACATCAATCATCATCATTCAATAATTACAAAAATCGGATATGACTACAAAATTGGTAACTCAAAATTTCTGATTAGGTGTTCTGACTAAAAGTTAAAAAAAATGAAGAACCCTTTGAACCCCTACTTGTGACAGGGAATATATAAGCAGTTGTGATCAGTTTTGTGTTTAGACATAATGTGAGTAAAGATGCTTGCTTGTCTAAGTCTAAATGCAGTCGAGATAAATAAACTACAACCGTAAATGGGGTTATTGCGTGCAGCATATTTGCCAATATTTATTTAAACATGGCTTTTCGCTGTCGTATTAGTACAAAAAGCCTTCACAGGCTGCTTTTGAGGATCAAATAAAAAATGTATGTAAATGACAATACAAAAGATTCACGTGACGGATTGCATTTTTAAAAAGATTTTTAGGCACCGATCATTCATCTTTTGTGGGAGGCAAGGTTTCTTTTTCGGGATAAACCATTTTTTTACTTCTCTAATAAAAAACAAGCTTTTTTTCAATAACATAAAGGAACAGGTTTTGTGATTGATAATTCGTGTTCAGGTATTTATTTCATGCAGGTCATAACATTTTCTGACAAAAATTTATAAAGTAAACAATTACATGGAAATTCATCCTTAAGTTATACATACACATAAAAATAAAATTAGGTTAATTCAACTACTATATCTTGATAAACAGTTTTTCTACGATAATATTTCATTCCGATATGACAGTACATTAGTTTCCTTGAAAATGATACATCTAAATACAATTGCACTTGTGACAACTCTGAGAATTAGCTTGCTAAAACACGTTTTAAGTTGAAACAAAATCTGGCTATAGTCTTTCCGACCATTGTTTCTTTTTTGTTTTATATTTCTACCTTATTTATCAATCTACTGACAGTTTCGTGATCGCATAACATTTCACTTTCTACTTAAACGAACCTTTTAGCTTAATCTTGTTCCATTTCACTATTCAATACTTGATTATTTCATATAAAATCGTACGAAATAATTACATGGAGAAAATCAATAAGTTAAACGAAAGATTATAACAATATAAAAATTAGTTCAATTCATCATATCTGTAAAATTAAGCATCGCTTGAAATTCCTAAAGATGGAGTTCATGGAAATATCTGATAATCAGTTTTGTGATATTCTCGTCAAATCCTAAGTATATTATATGATTTCTGAGGTACCAACGGATTAGAATGTCATTCCTTAAACACGTGTACCAGATGAATACAATTAGTAATTAGTGCTAACGGTTTCTTTGACTGTAAAGGGAAAAGGGGGGGGGATTGCAAAACGCAGCCATTAAAAAAACCCCATTGGCTTAATACTAAATGTGATAAACATTTTAGGCAAAGATGTTAGGTTAGCGTCCATATTGACTCTTTACAGCCTATTAATAAGAAACGTGTATAACGAATTTTAAATCGTGATAATGAATTCAAAATTTATTTTCACAGATTGTAAAGAGCATCCTTGGAGATAAATGAAGATTTTGAAAAAAAGATGTTTTTTTTTTTATTTCTGTTCAAATCTTATGCTGCAACACTCCTACAAACCAACAATAATTTATGTAGTATGTCCAAAGTAGGAACTCTAACAATAAATAACAGATATCAAATGAACATGAGGAATTATGTTGTCAAAAAAAATTATACTTCAATGTTTGACGTTACTCAGTGCAAAGTGTGCATCCGATGGACTTTTACAAAGGAAAATAAAACCAATCATGGCGCCCCTCCCCCCACCTCCAAAAAAAAAGAATAAAAAAAAAAGAGAAATAAGAAGAAATACAATACAGCATAAATACTATATTATAATTTCAAAACGACATTAGGACTATATCGTGATGAAATGAAGAAAAGGATTTAATATCATTTAATTTCTAAAACCATGAGATCCTGAACAGAAACAGATTATTGAAGTGCCATGCGGTAATACACGGAAGTGACGTAACAAAAATAACGTGTTATATGAATTGGATGCCGATTGGATGCAATTAGGCTACAAGAATGTCTGAGTACATAGTTTTGCCAAGAAGCATACTTCCAATTTAATTTCTAATTAATAAATATCATAGTCTACAAGTTTTTGCAGATGACTTCTCTAATGTTTCCTCTTGGACATCGTTCCCTGGCCAAATGGACTCTTCATCCAAACCATTCAAAACACTTTTAGCACTTTTCGATGATTTAGGCCCTTGTGACATACCTTTACTCTGAGAGGAAGGTGAACGTATCATTATGAATTCTTCCAAATCCTTGTGTACGGCAATATCTGAATATTTAGAACTTGGGTGCTTTCTTCCAGACATGGTACTCGAATCTAGCATCATTTGCAGCAAAAAAGTTTCCGAACAAGGATTGGGCACTCGCAGAATGGATTTTGGTAGGTCAATGCTTTTTCCATTTAAATGAGGTGCAGATTTCGGCGGATGTGTTATTTTCTGTAGATGCTCTTGATCCGTGGTTTCTTTTTGATGCAGAAGCATTTGCCGTTTTGAATATTTGAGAAGTCTATATGGATTATTGAATTTTTTAATTCCCTTGGTAGAAAATGAGTTTGGCAAGCTAAAACCTTTGACGGAGTCATCTGAAAATTTGTTTCGAGCTCTTTCTTTATTGTTAATCCGTAGATAATGTTTCAAAGGATTGTCAGCTGATCTTGCTGGCTTGTCTAATCTCGAGCGTTTCTGATCAGAAGATCCAATCATTTCTCTCCAGTCAGCTGAGGATGCTGATCGGAAGTTTTTCCCCGTCAGTTCAAATGACGACATATTTGTACCTCGCTTTGATAAAGATATAATAGAGGGCGCCGGTGTCGTTGGTGGGGGGTTGTTTGCACCATTATTTGACTTGATACTACTAGTATCTTGTATTGTCAGTGTGTCATTGAAATTTACAGATTTCTCTAGACCAGCAGATCTGTTAGGCTCACTTCTGGTTTTTGATTCTTTATTTTGTAACTTTACTCGTGTTACTTCATGGGCAGACGTTTTATAATTTCCAACTCTCTGATCTTTTAAATATTTATCAATTGTTTTAGTAGTGAATCCATTTACGGGTTTTCCACAGAGAACAAAACTGGGCTTTTCTTCTGTAATGCCGACCTCACTGGACTCATAAGGCGAATCCATTGATGTTATTCCTTGATTTGCATGCTGCAAACGACTTAGAAAGTCTTGTCGTCTGACTGCAACTGTATTTCCCGCCTCAATTAGTTGTTTGTTAGAATTTTTCAAAACTATTTCATACGATTTGTCTAAAGCAATAACGGTACTGGGTATTACTCTGCTTGATCTTGATAACAGTGGCGACGCTGGTGTGTTTCTGGGAGCCGGGGCTCCTTTAACTCGCAACCTTTCAATAACAGTCGCCATTTTGTTAGGAGCGTTGTTGCCGACATCGTGGGCAAGTTCTAAAACGACTTGGTTGCAGCTCATGATTTAATGATTCGTTAAAACCCAATTACATCCTGATGAACTCTGAAAATCAGAAATAGATATACTGTTTACTAGATATATATCATTATAGAAGCATGTACTTGTTATAGTATCAATGATTGCAATACGGATATCAATTAAATGAATAAACACCTCTAATAGAAATATTTTGTATTTTCAAAGACCAAATGCAGGAAATAATCAAACATCCTCCTCCTAGGGTAGGAGACGGAAGTCTTTTAAATAAAATTGCAGGACGGCCCCTTACTCGTCAGGATTGGTACATGTATACATCAAAACACGACAAAGTAAACTAAAGACTGAGAAACAAGAACGCGCAATAATTTGGGGTTACCTCAGGCTCTTCTGATGGGTAAGCAAGTCTCTTAAAAAGATATAAGAGTAGCAATATTTAATTTAATTAATTGTTTGTTGCTGTCTATATAAAAACCACCACACTAGCCATAGGAGTGGGAAAAGCGGTTAAACCAAAAAAGTTGCCGTTACCACCCGTAACGGCGCCTTTGATTCACAGTTCGTGTCAAATGCGAATCGAGAAATTATTGGTTCGAATCTGTTACAGTGCTGTAACGGTATGAATACCCATTTCTGTCGATTTTCACTTGCGAAAGACTGGTCCTTTGCACCTTAAAATCATATTTAATATTTTGGTTATATATTTGCCTGACCGATTTATAAGAGTTCTCGGTGGTCACGCACGACTGATTTGTTAACATCATCTTTTACAGTTTTGATATAATAAAACAATTTAAGTGCATTGATTTCTTACAGGAACAAATAGAATAGCAATTGTAACCATTAACAATATATTTAAACCAAATACGACACTTTTGTCGTTCATAATTATTTGTATAGCTCTGTTAAACTTAAGCCAGTATAGTTGATGAACTGAAATTGAATGACACAAGAAGCCTTGAAACCATTTTTGTCAAAAAGGGTAAGTTACATACATTATCGAAAAAATGAGTTACATTTTAAACTTTCTTCAGTCAAACAGAATGGGTCCAAAAATTCCAGTCCGGAGGTCTGACAATGTCTCTACTGACGCGAACTTCTCAAATATAAAGGGAGTGAATGGATGTGGATTTTGCCCGCAATTACATGTCGTTATTATATTTCCACTGTCAGTTGTACTAATTATAACCAAAACAAACTGCCAAAGTGCGTAAATCTTTTGGAAATTAAAATATTTGGAATATCCAAGATAGTTTAGCCCTTTTTTACGTATCTATGGTTGTCTTTCTGAAATAACTTGGTTAATACATGTACATGTATATCATGTAACTATATAATTTACTAGTAGACGACTTCCGCAAAATAAGTAGTCCATTATTTAACGAAGTCGATCAGTAAACTATCTTGCTCAAATCAATTTTTTTATTCCGTTTGTCAATAATTCAGTTTTGCTTATTTTGTGTTTTTCATTTGAAAACGTTGTGGTGCGTTAGTATTTTTTTAATGGTTTACTGCTTTTAGGTTAAATCTTGTTTCATTTGAGTAAGTTATGGTGTTTTGTAGTGTGGATATGTTGCAGTATTTTAGTCACATCATTGCTTCACAAATATTTGCATTGAAAATGGAAATACATGTATTAACATAAATAAGAATTGAATTAAAGGAAGGCCGTTATCACAGTTTAGGACGTTATGAGATAATGAGACCTAAGATATTTATTTTGTTTTTGGGGATAAGGTTTATGGTAAATGGGATAATGAATACAAGGTCTCTTTCATTCAGTTAAATTTTACCAACGAGATTTTTTGTAAACAAATCAGAGAAAATACATAAGTATCCTTTTAAATGCCATAATTAAAAAACGAGTTCGAATATAAACAACCAATTCAACACAAGAGTTTAAACGGTATTTGGCAAACTAGGCAACGCTAGGAGTTTTACATGTTTAAAGTCTATGCATTTACCATATATGTAGCTTCATAAAGGGGGCCCGGGACCCCTGCCTCCCTAAATCTGAATCTGGCATGCTTTAGATTATATATTTTCATTGTTAAACTTATCGAAAATAAGCGAAACAGAGATTTGGTAGGATTGTGGATTTCGTGCGAAAGGATGCTGACATCCCGTAATATCATCAAACATAACTCAAATACGTTAACAACCGATGTATCTGAAATTATAAAATCCTATGAAGACGTTGGAAATATATTTAAAAGATGTAAGGTAAAATGTGAAACAAATACCATACATGGAAAAGGACTAGATTAAAAATGTTAATTAACAAAGAAATATCAACTTTGGCTCTCATAGTTTAGAAGCCAGTAATTATTATAACACATACCTCAGGACATATTACATACACAAAGACATTTAAGATGTAATGATATTACAGTATTAAATATTCATTGTTTGTATATTTGTAAAGAGCTTTAACAGGTTTTACAACTAATACATGATCACATTATTTCTAAATCATTCAAGGCTTCTTTTTATAAACTTTGAACTATAGGAAATTGAACATGCTTATTTTTAACTCCATAGACAGATTTCAAATTTGTTCAGATTAATTCTCTTATTATATTTTATTTTGAGAAAAAGAGACACGAAGCCACCATAGTTGGAAATTACCATATCACAAAGAATTAAACTTTTTCACTGTTTTTATTTTAAATTTTAAATTGACATACTATAAGACTTCTCCCGTCTGAAGTAAGTCATTTATAGAATGGCGGTAGCATCTGTTTGATGTTTGAGTACATAGCCACGTTCAAATATGAAGTCCTAGTCTTTGTAATAATCAGGCAATTTAGCAAAATTTCAAAACATGGCAGAAAAAAAACCCACTGACTTAACCATCCTATTTTGAAGTTAGTAATATACCCTCATCCTGAGTTAGAATTAAATGGTAGATCTTTCGTTTCTGCTTGTCTGGTAATTCAATTGTATACAATTTTAACATAAATTAATGTCAACTTGAGTGGGTTTTTGTTTGTCATGTTTTCACCACTGCATGATTCTTAGGCAGATTGGCACTTAATACGATATCTCATATACGGCCAGCAGAACTTTTCCTGCGCCTTGTAAAACACTTGCAAATCTCTTTGAGATAACCATTGGAAAGCTGTTGAAGGTAAAATTTCTGCACCTTATTTACTGCTCACCCTACGGTTTCCCGTTGTTAATCTTGATTCTCCCACTTTACAGAATCAAATCAAGTGATTAGTTGTCAAATTTGCTATTGTGCAGAATATGCATGACATATTTGAGCTTGAAAGTAACAACTAAATGTAAAACCTGATCCAAATTCGAAGAGAGAGGATCGAGGAAAAACAAATCAATGTAAACTCTAGTATAATTATGTTCATGTGTCTGTCCAAAATTAGGAAGCGGTTGTCTTCAGTTTAATCTCAATGTGTACTTTAAGGAATGTGTTGCTGCGTGGAGAAATTTGTTCGCTACGTAGCGAGACTCGGGGTGATTTAGAGCTTGACAAAAATAAATACTTGTCTGTAGTTATTTGAATAAAAAATCGGGTGTTAACCTCAAGGTTTTTGTGTTGTTGGGTTACTGTCTCATTAACGTATCGCACTTGTCTGCTGTTGAAGCCAGTAAATTTGATCTCAAGATGAGTTTGGATTCCATGTGTCGTTGGGTTGCTGTCAAATTGACGTATCCTATATTCATATACAAATAGCCAGTTATGCAAAAGAAACATTGCTCACATTTAAAAAAAAATTCAAATAAATAGACAACTAGGATTCACTATATGGCATTCAGCTGATTGAGTACTTATATTGTACAAGTAAGATTTATATGTATGATCAAGGGGGATAATTAATAACAGGAATCGGAAACAGTTAAATAATAATCCTGGTACCTTTGAAAACTATTAACCTATTAGATAAAAAAAAATATTTTAGTATAGATATAATATAACAAAACAAGCGTTTAAAAGTTGCATAGCATACAAAATAATTTGAAGGGGAACGGGCTGTTTTATACAAATTGCTATGACATATTTTCATTATTAACTGCCATGGGGTTCAATATGAGTATGGATATAAACACGCTAGCAGTTTTTAAATGCACATATTTGTTCTTGGTATTAAACTATGAAGTTGCATTCGTTCGTATACTGAATGTGTGTTGTGCGCTCTGTAAAAGTATGGTTATAAAAAAAAGACTAAAATGCGACAAAAAATAAGACCAGGTATATATTATCCTTTATTTAGTAAATTTCAAGGCTTGTGAACAAAAGCACAGTGGTGAATATGCATTGTTGTCCCTTATTCGTTTTATTTATTCATTTTTAATTCTGAGATTTTATATTTGCTATTCAATCTGAGATTATGTATATAAACTCAAAATATATCATTTAAAACTTTGTTAGGTGCAATCCGTTTTGCTTAAAAATTGATAAGGTATTGTTATAAGATTATATCTTTTAATTACATCAATGTAAAAGAAGATAAGATACACAAAGAGAGTAAAGTATTTATCTTTTTATCAGATTTAGAACTTAAATACCCACCATACGCCCATTGTAAACTTTAACAATGTGACCATAGATTGATACAGCTTAGTGTATAAAGAAACCATCCAATATATGCAATGACACCAGTAGATAAGTCACTATATTGAAGAATAAAATGTATATTCCAAATTGCTTAAATGGTGATTTGTCTCTCTTAGTTTTTCTTAAAGAATGTTACAGTGCGGATCCAAGATTTTGAAAAAAAAGGAGGGAGGATGGGGGCGGGGGCCCTGGCAAGGCAAAGTTAGTAGTGGGACTTGTAAAAACATTTTGGACATCATTAACAATATAATGAGTTTCCGGAACCTCACTCTGAGCCCGTCAATCTTTGGTCTTACTCATATATGCTGCGTGCTTTGAATAACGAAACAATGAGATATTTCACCAAAAACACAATAGAACAAAAACATGTCTCCAAGATATCACATGCAGTCATTAATTGACAAGTGACCATAAGAGAAGTCTAGCTCTGAAATTCCTCGAATCTAAACAGCTTGTGAATAAGTTACAAAGACGCTATTCCGAAAATCCTTCATTTACAAACAATTCTTTGAAGAACAACAAATAAAAGATGAAGAAATACAAACATTGAGGGTATTCCAGACTTCGGACCATTCTATAATAGGACCCTTCTAAAATAGGTTTCTATTACATAATAAGATATATTTGTGTGGATCCATGTATTGTGTTTGAGATTTTACCAAAGATTAATAGGTTCATGTTCATTTATTGTGTCAAAAGTGAAGAATCGTGGAAAAGGGGGCTTGGGCATGTGACATCTTCGTATATATAGTCGTTCGTTTATGAACCCTTGGGTAAGTTAACAGATAATATCATACACACCAAAAGCTGTTTCAGATGAAGAATACCTAAAAGTTAATAGTCGGTAGACTTGTTTTTTTCCATATACATGCCTATCTTGAACTCGATATTTTTCTATACATGTAGATGAAGTGTATGCATATATGCGTGGTGATGGTATTGTATTAGTACCATCTTAGAACTTGTCATAACTAAATACTATAAGCTATGCATATCGTTTATTTTAAACTTTTTGTTTATTTTTTCATTTCTTTTATTTTCTCTGTTTGTTTGTTTGTTTTTTTTTTGCTTTTGTTTTCCTTACTTGGTTAATAGATAATATAACTGCACTCACCGTTGAAACCAAAACCGGAAACTACAAACAATATCCATTTTCAATGTGCATATCCAAAACTGATCTTCCCATTTGATTTTTTTTTTATTTTTCGTTTAAATTTCACATTTTAAAAAGAATTCCTAAAAATTCGTTAAATATATGAATACTTCATAAGCATGATTTTGAATTAAATGTGTGGCAACTAATCTTAAGAAAATTCCCTCTTAACGATTTATATTAGTTACAAATAACAGATTTAAAATTATTGGCAAGATGGTCTGTCTTGGGAGCCATAGAGCGGAACATGTCGGCTATCGGCATTGTAAAGATATTTGTAAGACCGTAGCGTTCTGTTTATGATGGGTGACTAGTTATACCAGATCTTGATAAAGCCGTATATCTCTTAAATAATGCAACATTCTTTATTTAAATATACAAACTGCTACTACAATGAACAAAAACAAAACACGGTAATTTAAATTCATAAAATCATCCTGAACAAAATCTTTTAAAATTAGTAAAGAGCAGTAGGGAATTAGATGCATCTAGGTCTAATTTAAAACACGAAATTCATTGATGTAAACCGGAAAGAGGATGAAGAAATGCTTCGTTCCCAAAAGATTTTGAAAATTTCGATTACTAAATTAAATTTAATTCTTAACCAAACTAATATTTAATAAATCTTTTAATTTTATAATCCGATTACAATACATGTCTAAAAAGCATTACAGGCGGCCAGTTGTTATATATAATATCTTGTTTTATTGTTGCGCAAGACCGGAATTAATCCACTCAACTTCTTTAAATCGTGAAAATATTATATTGGTAAACGTTAACACATACAATATATAAAAAGATATAAGGCTCCAGATAATATAAACATGATGTCATAGTTATTACATTTTAATAGAAATAGCGGTACAATTTTAAACATATAAGAAGAGGGATTACTGCAAACCGACGAATTAAACTTCTGTATATTCAATTTCGAAGATCACGAAAAAAGCTTTATGAACATGTGAAGGTCCTTACTATGTATTGGTAACCTAAACTACACAAAACGTAAAATATTGTTTCATCTCGGCCTCATGTAAGTGTTCTACTACTAATCTTTCAGTTCTTTTAACTAGTTCATTATAATTACTATCAAAGAATTTATCATTAACTTTTGTATTAAAACATATGAAAATAGTGGAATTAACTATTTTTGGAATGTAAAACAATCTTTGGGTGTTTTAGATGAATTACATGCTTTAGGTGGTCCTTTTGATTCTGCTGACAGTTTTGTTGACTCTTTACACTACACTTTCACACAATCTTATCAAACAATTTTTTTTTATATTTAATCAACTGGTTGTTTGATAAATCTGATTGCAAATATGTTTATTGCAACTCATTTAAAGCCTTTTCTAATGAGAATGTTAAATATGTTAGATATGATTACTGAAGGTATGATGAGATGGCCGAAGCTGTTAATTTTCTCCTTGACAACATTTGTGTACGTTATATCGACAGGTTGTAGATATTCCTATGGGCACAATTGCGCCCCATTAATAGCAGACTTGTACTGTTATGAATCACAGTACATGGCGAAACTCATGCAGTAAAGACCTGTCTGAATTCCATTTAATTGATAAATTCAACAACATTTATGTTTATCTAAATAATATGTTTTCGTTAAATAATCAAGGATGATTCATTTATCTAAATATACTGCCGAAATTTACCCAATAAAAGAACCTATTTTGAATAAATCAAATATAAACGATAATAACTGTTCTTTCATAGATTTATATATTTCAGTGTTAGACGGGAAACTCTCAACAAAACTTTACGACAAAAGGGACGATTTTTCTTTACTTATTGTTAATTTTCCTTTTTTTGATGATGATGTTCCTTTGGCACAATCTTACATATCACAACTCGTTCGCTATGCCCATTTCTATAGTGACGTTTTGGATTTAAATGAACGTAATCTATGTACACTGTAAAAAAGGTGTTTAGATCCTAAACACAATTGTAAGCACATCTTTTGTGCACTTTTTTTACACGTTTTGGTCTAAACGTGTCTCAGTACAATGTGTTTAGGAGTGTGTTTAGCTTAGAAATAAGTGTTTTATTCCTAAACACTTTCATTTTAAAACACATTTAAAAGTGTTTAAATTCAAGACATGTTTACATTTTATGTGCTTACTGAGAAATATGTTTAGAAATTAAACACAATCATAAACACGTTTATAACTAAACATGTAATACAAGTGTTAAATTTCTAATCACGACTTTTACACCCCCAGTTTTTGGTGGGGTTCGTTTTGCTTAGTCTTTAGTTTTCTATGTTGTGTCATCTGTACTATTATTTGTCTGTTTGTCTTTTTATTTTTGGCCATGGCGTTGTCAGTTTGTTTTCGATCTATGAGTTTGACTGTCCCCATACCTGTCAACCTATGACAATGAAAATGCAGATGATGACCTGCATAGAAGAATGAAATCTCAGGTCATAACGCGTACGAACTTTTCCGAGCTGAATTTCAGTATTTAGGGGACATTTTTCTTATAATTTATATCAAAGTTTCCAAAACATGTCCAAATGGTTAAGTAATTTAATATTGTACATATTATTATTTCATTGCACCTGGAGGTCATTGATAGATTTGTGTTACATTCATTGCCTTAATTCCTGTTCATATTCATTCCATGACATACAATGTGTCAATTTGTGTTTTCTTTACATACATTTGTGCAGCTTTTAAACAGTTAAACATATCATTTGTTGATATTAGAGTATAATAAAATAAAGTTTAACAAATAAAGGAGGTATAGATAAAAAAAGTAATTTTCAAAATTTTTATTTTTTAATTGTTCTAAGGTAGAACAATAAGTAAAAGTATTATTCTGATATGTTTGTGCATTCAATTCATTTTAGATTTAATCTTTTTACAAAAAAAAACATAAGTTAAAGGAGTATATTGTGAATTGACAAAAAAGGGGAAGTAACTCAAATTGTTTTTAAAACAACTTTGAAATACACAAATTATTTACGACCTAAAGCTACGGTAATTGGTGTTAATTAACAGTGTGTTTGACACCAAAGCTGTCAAGTGAAGCCATGCACTGAAATGGGTCAATTGAGCTGAGTTTACACTGCTAGTTGAACTTCTTGTCCAGGAAGAATTACGAATTTGCCGGTATTTCATTGAAATGACTTTATATCTAATCAGTCTGAAGGCTAAGGAATCCGGGTGAAAACGGGATATTTTCCGAATTCCCGATTCCCGGGTTATTTGGTCACCCGGCGGGTGTTCCGGGTGACCCCTCAGAATTGTGAAAATCTCAGGCCGGGTCACACCCGCAGGATCCGGGTCAGTTGACAGGTATGTGTCCCTCTGGTATCTTTCGTCCCTCTTTTACAGTGTATTACTGGTAAATCACTAAGTCAGGGATTTCGTTACCACAAATTACTTAAAACCTGTACTTAATTCTTCCAAAGATACAAATATTTGGTTTGTAAGTTTGGCTGTTTTTCTGCTTTGTACCGATCTGATGAGTTAAGCCCTTTTTAACTGATTTTTATAGTTTGGTTATATGTTGTGCTGTTACACCATTGTCCCATGTGAGGGGAAGTGCCCGCAAACATGTTTAACCCCGCCACATTCGGTATACGCCTGTCCCAATTCCAAGTCAGGAGCCTGTAATTCAGTGGTTGTCGTTTGTTGCTGTTTATCATATTTGGTTTACGTTCATTGTTTTGTACATACATAAGGCCGTTAGTTTCTCGTTTGAATTGGTTTACGGTTGTCATTTCAATGCCTTTTATAGCTGACTATGCGGTCCGGTTTTGCTCATTGTTGAAGGTCGTATGGTGACCTATAGTTGTTAACTTCTATATTACTTGGTCTCTAGTGGAAAATTGTCTCATTGGCAATCATATCACAGCTTTTTTATTTTTATAATCATGAACGCTCGTTGTTAGAGGGGCAGCGTATAGTTAACCATAGCTGTAAATTATAATGTTATAGCGCATCGTGTACTCTCAAATTTTTAAACAATGGGACATGTATTTGGTCACATAGCTTCTAAGTTTTTACGTATTTTTACAGTCCTGGCTTACATATGTTTTAAGTTTCTACGTATTTATACAGTCCTGGCTTACATATGTTCTAAGTTTCTACGTATTTATACAGTCCTGGCTTACATATGTTCTAAGTTTCTACGTATTTATACAGTCCTGGCTTACATATGTTCTAAGTTTCTACGTATTTATACAGTCCTGGCTTACATATGTTCTAAGTTTCTACGTATTTTTACAGTCCTGGCTTACATATGTTTTAAGTTTCTACGTATTTATACAGTCCTGGCTTACATATGTTCTAAGTTTCTACGTATTTTTTTCTAAGTTTCTACGTATTTATACAGTCCTGGCTTACATATGTTCTAAGTTTCTACGTATTTATACAGTCCTGGCTTACATATATTTTAGTTTGATTGTTCCTGATGAAGGCAAATCAAGAAAAGCGATTCGGACGCACACAATTTATTAGATTGTATTTTAATTTACAGGCACTCGGTCGATACCTCTGTTGCTGGACCGTGAGGGTATCATGAGCTCAGTAATCAGTCATTCGAATCGGATACTAATATTGTTGATAACATGTGTTACTAAAATTCCCCGTTGATTATAAATTAAGAAATTACTATGAAACTAAGATTCCAACTCCCTCATGAAATGTATACCTTCGATGTTTTTGGCTATCTATTAAGGTCCCTTTCGGTCATATAGCTCCTAATGGTTTTTGTGGATTTATACATCCCTAGTTTTCAAGTGTTTGTGTTCGAGTGATCCAGGGCAGGTAAATTAAAAAAGCGCTTTACCTTTTGAATGGAAATTATACAAAAATGAGACGCTTTTAGAAACGGAAAAACAATTAAAATTGTAACATAAATGATGGATTGGATCAGGATTATGTGTAATTCACATTATTTGTATTTCTCTCCCTACTCTTGAAAATTCTGGAGGTATTTTCCGACCCAAATGGACTACAAACTTTAAGTATCGGAAAATAATTTCCTTTCGATTTGTTGTGTTTGTTTATTTGTTGTCAATATGCTTTTTTCGTTTTTCCCATGGTGTTGTCACTTCGACTTAAAAATATTATTGTCCCTCTTGTAACCTCCACCTTTTTTTTTTATATACATGTACATTCATTTGCATTTAGTATATGCACAGTGGAAACAAATCCTGAAGAAATGTATCAATACATTTATAGACTAGTGAAAAGCAAGAACACTTATTTTCTAACTTAAATGAGTTATACCGGTTGTTTAGTATAAACTATAAAAATACAATCAATAAAAATAACAACAACAAGACATCATCTTTGTATTTATCATTTAACATAAAGAATTTCATTTAAACATTTACCAAGTTGTCAGGTGGTCGCGCTTTAAAAGCGTACAATGAACTTCGGCAATAAACAGAAAGAAAGTCTTCATTTTCCGTTTTTTTTTCTCCAGCTTGATTAACTTTTTAATACAGATCAGGTAGTTTTGATCTAATTAGTCGCCTCTAGCCATGGTCAACGTTAAATCAAGGGTTTTCTGTTATATCTTGTTGCGAATACCGAAACCAAGGAGTTAGAATAACGAATGCGCAAACCGGCCATCTTACAATTCCCGCAAGCTGGTGTTATGACGTAAAGTTAATAATCACGTAACATAAAAATTCCGCTGGCCTTTGGACTTCACCTTGCGGCACGCAACAGAGGCCGATTAGGCCATACAGCAGAGAAAAGATTAAAGTTGGGACAGCGTGAGTTAATCTAACATACAAGCAGTTTTTTAAGTTGACGTGCACGAAAATCTTTGATTTAATTGGAGGTGCACCTAGGACATGTCTCGGGGACTTCCCTTATATACGGGTTCTTAACCCTTGAACTGGTTTGGTTCCACCTGAATAGTTCGTTTATAGGAAGAAGGATAACGCAGTTTGGAAAAAAAAAATTATCAAGAATTGCAGAGTTATGTCCCATCTGAGAATTCGACTTTAGCCTTAGAATAGACCAATCTCGAGTTGATTTGTTTTATGAATGACATGCACCAGTTGGCACGAAGTCTATCGCCGTAAATGTCGTCATTGTCGGAAAACAATTGGTTCGTTTTTGTGACATACATGTATTAACATAAGCATTTTGAAATATGAAATTTACAGGAAAATGAATGAATTTGAAAGTCGTCTAAAAGTAGAAACAAAAAGCTCACCAATCCAAATAATAATCATAATAATTAAGACAATAAGATATATTGAAGAAAAGTTAAATATGATTTTTACCGATTTATACATATATACATTTGTGTCGAATAAAAATTTTAGAAGAAAGAGAGGTAACTCATTGTGTCTTTAAAGGAGAACTATAATATGGTACATACAGATAACTATCTGAGGTCACATGATTTTACGTCAATACATGTACCTTTGTAACTGTAATATGCTCTATATTGTGATATATTTTGTTGGATTGAAGTTGATATATTTTCCGTGTTTTATTTCTATATTGATTTGATTTGATTTTAGATACAGACTACAAAGTCATCATACTACTAGCTTACAAATTCAACAACTATTATAGGTCACCATACGGCCTTCAAAAATGAGCAAATCTCATTCGTATAGTAAGCTATAAAAGACTCCAAAAATAGCACGTTAAAAAATGATTCAGCGTGGTTAATTTGTTTAAAAAGCAGTGATTATATTCATATGCATCAATATGTTCTCGTCTTGATATGCATGTAGTATTTGCCACTGGACGTGAGACATCAATAAATCCGATATGAAAAGTTTAAGTGGATTAGAAGTACGTATGATCATGTTTAATTTGAAACAATAAAAATATTAAATATAACTTTTAAAGCTCATTTTGTTGTTTTACATTTATAAAAAAAATAAATTGTCAGTTTTATGCCATTAAAGAGGCCCATAAATGTGGATATTTTTTTTTTATTTTCCTGTTTCACTAACCACTCTGCGTGATCTATTGACAAACACTTTACAAACTTGTGCTGAATGAATTGACAATTCCGTGTCTATGTATTGATTCAAGATTTAAATACCTTTAATTGCACATTTTAACACTCAATATTGTAATTTTCGAGTACGATCAACCATGTATTTTCATATTCTACCAAAATAAAATGTAATATACATCTGTTGATTTCGGCCATAAAAGCCTATAATGGTCACACTAAAACTTGTCTTAATGCATTTCTCACACGAATTGATTTCATTTAAGCTAAAAGAAAATATTGTGAATGTATTTCGATGTTTACAGATTGTTAATGACTTTTTACTTGTCACTAGATCATTATGATTAAATGTGTATTAGGTATGTGCGGTAATTCATTTAGAGATACTTTAATTACTGAGCTATCACGCAAATGATAAAACTTCAATATAATGTTTCGAGATTTGGATCGGAGATCGAATAATTGTAATCAACTTGCATGCAATATAATGTTGTATTTTATGAAGTAAGGTCACAAACAGGAAATTTCATCCAATATATGTTTATATTGAAATCAATTCCTTGGACTTGTTTATTTTTTTCGGATTGAAGCGATGTGTTTAATGTTTGTAAGTATGAAATTGTATCGTTTAAAATTTTTGATATATAATTGAAAATAGCCATAAAGAGCTCTTATATACTGTCGAAAATAAAAATATTAATTTAAAGATAAATAACATTTCTGTTAAAGTCTTTCAACAAAACTTTTAAATTCACGTCTTTGTATCTTCTAAGTTTGAAGTAGACAAACGTTTTCACATAAAATCTTAAGCCGAGACGGAAAATATAAAAGTTTTATTGAAAAGAGTACAGTTTTGTTTACTATTGAAATTGGTAATAAACCAAACAAGGAGAGAAAAATACACGAATACAAAAAAAGAGGCAGATATTTTGCAACTCGGATGTGCACATACTGATGAAAGGTACGTAATTTCATTTGTACAGATTGTTAAATATCTTTGTGATACTTGATTATCTAAAAAAAGTCTCACATATACAATTTACAAAATTTACGCTTTACAAAAAGGTTTTCTCGGTCAACTCCATGATTATGATGAAAACATACCGCCATCAGCAAGGAATTCTGCTCAGACTTGTCTTTGAACTTGTAGTGAAGTTTGAGCTTGCCTGTCCTGAATGCTGACAGCGGAAGTTATAACTCATGCACTTAAAAAAAATAATCATTGACCATAAGGGGGAGGGGCTCACTCCCCAGCTCCTGCATGCATACGCCCTTGATTTATGTGTAAATCACTTTTATAATTATAAAACCATTTTGTCTAATAATTTTACTCCTAATCACTGTCGCGGCATTTTAAAGTATTATATTGCGTGAGAAAATTATTTTTTTTCTTTTTAATTACAATTTACCAGTATTCTGTGGCATAACCGAAAGTGATTTTATCTATTTAAAGTACAAGATAATTTGTTTTGGAGAATTTAACCCTACCTATTAACTGATCTAAATGTATAAGGTCAAACCATAAAGTTTGTTATTCATAGTATATTATGTTCAACTTGATGATTGAGTATACGATTTGAACCTGGAAAATCCTGCACACATACAACCATGATGGCGGCATCTATAATATACTTTATAGAAATAATTTTTCTTCTGAGTTCAATACTATCACGTTACATTGAGCAAACAAATTATTCTAAAATATAATACTAATAGGTGATTATTTAACAGTATATTATTTAATGGACAGACGAATAATAGTCGTAACTACTATTGTGACGACAATGATTATGATGCTTCGGAAGTCAATTTATATATAAAGGCCAACTCGACTCTCTATTGTCAAATCAAGCTGCAAAATTTTAATTCTCGTTGATTTTCCTGCCGTTCAATACTTTAGCATAGTCGCTGTTCTAAATAATGGAAAAACACTTCGATCGCACAATAGCTAGACGACACAATTAGATCTAATGCTTTCTAATTAATAAGTTTTTATATTAACCAATACTGCATTTTCTTCAGTAAATATGTCTACGAATGAGGTATCTGGTTGACAATTGTGATTTATTAAAAAAAAATCAATTCAAACAAATCCAATAGCAACGTTATTACTGAGGATTATCATATGCGGTACTTATCATTTTATTTTCCTAGTTATGCAAAAGGAATGAGATGGACTTGTTTTTGTTAGATGTATTTCTGCTTTGTATCGATCTGATGAGTTAATCCCTAGGATGAAATTTGAAAAAAAGGCAGGACAGGAGTTTTGAGTAAAAAAAAAGGCAGGATAAGCAACTTGGCAAAAAAAAAAAAGGCAAAATGACAATTTATGTAAAAAAAGTCAGGATAAACTAATAAAAAGGCATGCAGGACCGAATAGAGTGGAAAATAAAAAGGCAGGACAGAGATTACAACTAAAAAATTTAGTTTAATTACAACTGAAATTTGAAAAAAAAGGCAGGACAGGAGTTTTGAGTAAAAAAAAAGGCAGGACGAGCAACTTGGCAAAAAAAAAAGGCAGGATGACAATTTATGTAAAAAAAGTCAGGATAAACCAATAAAAAAGGCAGGACCGAATAGAGTGAAAAATAAAAAGGCAGGACAGAGATTACAACTAAAAAAAAATTTTTCATCCTAGCCCCCCATAAAAATCAAATGGTAGCTCCTTTATTTTTATATTTGAACTTTTCTTTAATTCATCGATGTTGGATTTAATGTGAAATGGAATTTGTTGTTTGTAAATCGCTAGGCACAGAAAAAGGGGATGAGAGTGTACTGACTGTTTACACCAGGTTCCCGGATTTCACAGACTAATTTACTATGTCCACACATAAAGTAATAATCAAATGCTTAAAAAAGATAATTTTATTCTGATAAATTCCTACATATTTTATGATGTCGTCTGTCGTGCTTGTAGTAGTGCTGTTATTGTCGACTGCAGTACATTTGTATATTTAGTATTGTATTGAATTACCAACTTTCAAACTAAATCTTCTTATTTCCCCTAATAACTTCCAGCATTCTTTGTTATAGTGTCGTTCTTGAAAGTGACTCTCTTTTGTCTTCTGAAGTATATTTGTACCGATTTAATAGAGTTACGTTCTTTTGGTGGACTCATTTTTGTAATGTGCTTTCCTATACAGTGTGTATGTGCTTTCCTATACAGTGTGTATGTGCTTTCCTATACAGTGTGTATGTGCTTTCCTATACAGTGTGTATGTGCTTTCCTATACAGTGACTTATTTAACCAAGAATCGCACAACTAGTTAAAAAAACACATCGCATGTTTTTATATATTTCACCGGTGTGGGTGTATAGAAATATGGTTATCCCATCTGGCAATCAATCCTAATCTACAGTGGGCGTTCGTATTGGATGTTTTGGATGGATAACTGCGAAGCCCCCTCCGGTTGATATGAGGTTGGACGAATCCCATGACGCGTGTTGGAAGAGTGGCACGGTAAAGAAACCGTACAACAATTAATTTAGGATTCTAATCAGTAGAACACAAAGGAACATGCAATAAAATGCTTTGTCATTTTCTTTCTATAAGTAACAACTTTTAATAATTCCGCCTTTTCATACATTTCAGCATATGACTGAAGTTTTTAAGATTACTAGAGATACCAAGGCTTTATTGTTAAAATATTCCGTATCAACTTCACAAATAATACATGATGGTCTTGAAGTATAGATTCTAGTTACGTCTTTGTAAATCATCAACCTTTACTGTTAAGTCCATTTTTGGTAATATCCGTTTTGCGTGGCTCGGTACTTATACATCCCGTCATTGTGTTTTTGTGCAATGGTCATTTTTGTATTCTTGTCTTTCATTTTTGCTGATGTGCTTTGTCTATATGCCACTTTGTTTTTCTTTGTTGACATACTTGTTTGTTTTTATAGTGATTAAGATTATAACACAATCATGATCTTGTCTGCTGTACCCCTATTTTTGACATTTTAACCTATTATGTCTGTTTGTTTTGTTCACGCATTGTTGTCAATATAACGGAATTTTATGCGACTGTCATACAAGTGATAGGATTAGCTAGCTATAAAACCAGGTTTAATCCACCATTTTCTACATAAGGAAATGCATGTACCAGTCAGGAATATGACAGTTGTTTTCCATTCGTTTGATGTGTTTGAGCTTTTGATTTTGCCATTTGATAAGGGACTTTGCGATTTGAATTTTCCTTGGAGTTCGGTATTTTTGTTATTTTACTTTTTACATGATAACGAGATCAACCAATTCGTATCGATAACGAATATTCATTAATCTACAGTACTTTAGTACATGTACTTAAGTATTATTTTATTTAACCCAATCCATATTTAAGATATTTAATAATCCTTTTCAAAATCTTTTAATCAATTAATAATTCATTGGTAATGGTTAAGATATATCTGTTAAATTTTAGATATGAAGGCTATTTTAACTAGAATATTATATCACGGTATTGATTATAATAGATGTATCATATTACTGTGTACAGAGAAGCAAAGGTTAAACATTTAGAGTTGTTTCAAAGTCAAGAGAATCAACATGGTACTGATGCAAAGAGTTAAAATCTGTCGTGCAAAGAGCGAACGTGCTCATTCTATCGATCAATGAATTGTGGGAATTTGACAAAAAAGAAACTCATTTCCTGAGAAAAAAAAGGTAGTGCAAACACATTAGTCGCGCGTGATTTATTTATAAAGAGTCACCAGGAGTTGAACAATAAAAGTAAAACGAATATATTAATTCACTTTGATATTGATTAAAAGATTTTGTAGGCATTAAAATATGTTAAGTCTAAACAGTTGTTGCCATCCGATGATAAACTATAGTAGGTCATGACCCAACATTTAGGGTTCAGATTGTGGGTCATTACGCAAATATCAAATATCATCTCCCTCTCAGACTATTTTCTCGTAGCAGACGGTTAAGTAAAATAACTTTCGGCTTAATTAAATATATAAGTTCAGTTTCATCACAATACTGAAAACGTAGAACATCCACTTTCTAAATATAAAAATTCCGCCATTAATGGAGTCAATTTTGGGTTAAATTTGAATGTTGGGTACATCTCATATATGTCGTGTTGTCCATAGTTGAACAGGTTTTGGGGATGCATGAAGGTAGAATTTAAAACACTTTGAATGTGGTTTGTTTTTCTTTTTAATCCACGTGCCATTAAACAACATTAAAGTGCTGTTTCACGCTTTGAAGTGTGAATTAAAGCAACGGTTACTCTAGTTTACCCATGTTGACACCTTATTAATCTATTTAGAAGATACAAATCAAGATCGAAAAAACTAAAACCGAGGGAACAACAGGAACCTAAAAAGAAACGAAACCGGATGCGTCGACAGGGTATAGGCGTCTCCTGCCATAAAAACGTGCTTCGTTGACAACGGTTATATCCTATGTATCTCAATGATACAAGGTTGATCGGAGATTACTAAAATATTTCTGACATTTTTCTGTTGAAAATGTATGAAAGAAATATCGTCGTTTCAATTGATATAAAAATAAGAAGATATGGTATGATTGCCAGTGAGACAACTCTCCACAAGAGACCAAATGACACAGAATTTAACAACTATAGGTCACCGTACGGTCTCGACAATGAGTAAAACCCATACCACATAGTCAGCTATAAAAGGCCCTGAAATGACAAATATAAAACAATTCAAACGAGAAAACTAACGGCCTGACTTATGTACAAAATAATGAACGAAAAACAAATATGATATACAGCAACAAACGACAACCACTGAATCACAGGCTCCTGGCTTGGGACATACACATACAGAATGTGGCGGAGTTATACTTGTTTAAAGGCACCAACCCTCCCCTTAACCTGGGACAGTGATGTAACAGTACAACATAAGAACAAACTATAAAAATCAGTTGAAAAGGGCTTAATTCATCAGATGGATACAAAGCAGAAATACATATAACAAAAAAACACAGAGTGGATGTGGCAAGGTACTTATACATCCCCACAACAAAAAGACACTAAGTAAAGATCTGAGAGTACTCGCAGTTACTGACAGCTAGTTTAAAGCCAATAACAACTAATAAAAAAAAATCATTCATCGAAACCTAAAATATCAATCAGTACACATCCAACATCTAATGGATTTACTGTAAAGACATCATTAGCAGTCACTTAATTAAGTCAGTTAATTGACCCTATTTGATAATGTCAGTTCTAAAGTTTAAACATTTAAGATTTTTTGACTGGGATAAATTCATCGGAAGGACACCCTCATTTGATATCTAATTAAGGGTTCTATATGGAAGATTCTTTTAATATCAATGATTTGACATGTCAAGAATCGAATTTTTTAAATAACACATCTAGATGCATTTATAAAAAAATGATATATATTCATCTTCGCATCGACTGAAATCAAATTTCGATCCAGAAATTGTCTACAGTCCAACCATGTACCCTCCCCCTAAAAAACAAATGAATTCAGAACCAGTCCACACCCCTTTTTCTTTTTCTTTATTTTTTCTATTTAACTTCCCACACCCGCCCTTTCGTAAAAGATTTAAATATAATGTGAATATCATAAAACTTTGTGAAGATAAATAATATGTTAAAGTCAATTTGTGTTTATTTAAATGTTAAAATAGTAGACAATCTTTTGTTGTTAAATCCACTTCTCACCGGTTTTGACGAATGTTAGAAATTCAAATATTTTATTAATCATTTATAAACAATTTAAATGAAAAGAAGTATTAAAGTGTTTCATGCAAGGTTTATACGAGATTTAATTTCAAATTATATGGCATGAAAATGTGAAGAATAGAGAGAAATTGGAATGTTTTCTTAACATAATATATACATTTCACGTACGTATTGAGACTTTTTAAGATGTTAAATTGTTGTGTAATTCTCTAAGGTCAGCCAAACATATGCAAAGTGCAAGAACTATTAATTATTAATATTCTGCATTGTGTTTCACATATCCCTTGTATTTGTAACTACAAACATTGAAAAGACGGCTTACGTTGGGACAATAACTTTAGCAGATTAAAGTGGTTTTGGTTATGAATTATACAACTAGTTTACAATGCTTTTACACGTATATGACGAGAATTTAATTTTAAATTGCAGGTGTAAAGAAAGGGGACTTTAAAATAGACAAAGTGGAGTTTTAAAATTGAAAATTTAACAGTTATGGAATAGTAAAAATCGTTTGTTGTCGTGAATCAACTGTGGTTTGTTTTCACAAAAAATGGAAGAAGAAGAACCCAGTATGTTTTGTCATATGAAGTAATACAATAAAATGTCAACTCAGGTGGCAAACAGTCCATTCAAAGCTTATTTAGGAAATGAGGAATTAATGCTGGAGAGACAGAGAGCACAATCCAGATTAAAACAAAGCAAAGACAGAAATAGGAAAGTTGCAATTGAATCGTCACACAACAGATATTTTACCGATGGAGTTCGTGCGCCATTGCTGTCTGATATTAACTTTGGACAGTCTTGTTGTTTGGACGTTGTCAGACCAGCCAAAAAATTTCATTCGACCGGAATCACATCGCCCGAGAGTCCCGGACGTAAAACTGCTATACCACATATTCCTCTTGAGAAAGAAAATAGTAACGTCGTGTTTTCCGAACGATCAAGCAATACGATTAAATCGATAAAGTTTTTACTTCCGGATGGATCGCTTCGGTCACATGACGAATCTACTATGAGCTCTAGAAGTGCAAGTGAACTTGATTTAAGATGGAAGCGTTCTAAAAATAGTCCAAAACTTGATGCAAGAGATATTTTATACCGCAACACATACTGTGGTTCACCTGATCTGCGATATCATTCAATCACGTTGCCCAGCATTGCTTCTCAGAATAAAACTGCCGTTCCACGTGTTAGCAAAACTAAAACAACTACACCTAAGAAAAAGATAACATTCAAAGATAATGAGCATATGCAAGCAAAGTTTCAAGAACACTGTGTGTTAGATTCTAAACTCGAAAAACAAAAGAGCATTCAAACAACAGTAGATATAGGATTTTTAAAAGTTCAAAAGATAAAATCTCATTTAGAAGAGATTCATAATGGAAATGATGATTTTTTATTAACTGTAAGACAACCAACAGATCTTCATAATCAAAACTCAAATCATCCTATGGAGCTCCGAACAGAAAGGCCACTGAAGTACGAAACAGTGGGACCTCATGGTTCCCGTCTTCACAGGAAACATTCAACATTGCGAACTGTTTTTCCATATTTTGACAAGGATTATAAATCAGCTGATGCTTACAAAGAATATCTAGAAATGGTAAAAACGAAAATGGTGTTAAGTAGTCGAGAAAGTACGAGAGTTGGCAATGATTCAGTATTATCACATTTTGGGCGTGACAATCGAGTGTTACAATCTGTGATTGACGTCAATACACCGACAGATCGACATGGAGCTTTATCAAATGACGGCAGATCTTTAGTTATTGAAATAAAACCAACATGGAATGAAATTCCTACTGGTCTTCCAGACGATGAGGAATCTGATGATTTTCGACCAGATAAATGTCCTGTTAATACTCCAGCTCATGATTAATACAGCAATTATTGACCAGTCATACCATATTTAGGAAACTGCTTCTTGCTTTTCCAGTTTATACCTTAAATGTTTTGTTCATTAATCTTACCTTGAGAAATATAAGATCTATTTAGGAAGGAAACTTGATTCTATTTGTTAACACAGAATTTTACTTGAAAAACAAGGTTACTTATTTACAGAAGGGTGTTTGCAAAAGAAACTTTTGGACTTGTTCTTGGACCAGTAATGGTTTGTTAATTTAATTTATCACTTACTAGACAAGACTAAATAATTTTTCTTCGCATCTCAAGTCTTACTTTGCTATTCCATATTTGTATAGTCGTTTTATGTAATTCATTGTTATATTACCTTGAATAGATTAATCAAATATCTTGAACTGTGCCTTTTTTTTCAACCAAACTTATAATTTACAATGGCAATATGTGTAATAAACATCTGCGCCATGAGCGCATGATGCGCCCGTCGCTTTTTCAAAGAATAAAGTTCAATAACTTCTCAATGTTATATCAGGAATTTCTAAAAACAACTAAAGGGAGGTTATTTCAATAGATATAAACCAGCCACCAAAGTTATATGAAAACTGATCAAAGCACTGCCGAAAACTGGAAAATCCACCCCTTTTTGAATAAAATCCCATAACTCGGAAAATTAAATTTAAAATTTATAAGAATCGGAAGAGAGCTTACATCAATATATATAAACAATTCCCCAAAGTTTCTTGCAAATTGGTGAAAGTTTTTTTGAGTTATTGTCCGAAAACTGGAAAATCCCCCTTTTTTAATGAATAAAACCCCATAACTCGGAAACATAAAATCTAAAATTTATAAAAATCGATTGGGAGCTCACGTCAATAGATATAAACAATTCACCCAAGTTTCATTCAAATTGGTTAAAGCGTTTTTGAGTTATTGTCCGACATGTTGACGACGGATGGACAGACGGACAGACGGACAGACAACGGTATACCATAATACGTCCCGTAAACGGGCGTATAAAAATGAAAATTTATTTTTGTAACTTTTGGTTAATGTTTAAGTGCAAATCTAGAAACTATTGAATCATAGGCAAACTTCTTCGTGACCACCGCCTGTCGTGCATGTGTGTGATATCCGTCAAGAGACGGATTGGGGTTTTAAGAAAGATTTTTCTATTAGTGATTCCTGTTGTATTTGAATTATGTCACAAAAACAATTTCTCGGTTAGCTTTTTGTAATGACTGTATAAAAGTAAGGATATGTAATATTATTTCCAATGAACAAAATTATCCATTAATGATCAAGGGACACTATTGGCAGCTATGTCTGCATATTCAGACTTAAGATTCATAAAACTAGTTGTATGTAGGAAAACTTAATATGTAAAGGCAACTTAGACACACAACACTATTGACAGCTATGTCTGCATATTCAGTCTTAAGATTCATTAATCTAGTTATAGGGAAACTTTTAAAATAAATAAAGGGAACTTATCAATCATAACACATCTTCTTATTTTTTATATTAGATACAACATTTTACTATCATTGTCGTCTTAAGAGTTCGATAAAAATAACAGTTTTTTGCGTATACTAGTTACCAACAGCATCTGAAGAAATCACAGAAACTATTTTTTTTTTAAATTCTACAGACCATTGATTGGTTATGCATCTAACTACAGTTTTAATAAGAAAGAGGCTAACTTACATAGTTAGAGATCTGAAGCTCAGGGAGGAACATTCTGACATTTTGGTTTATATCGCCAAAACTATAAGTGAATTTCACTTTTTGTCTAACATACATTAGGATGATATCGTAGGTTGTTCTAAACATTGTCTACTGAAACCAGAGGCAGACTTGCCCTGTTAAAGGGGACCCAAGGTGAAGATTTTAGTCTAACTTATACTTGGCAAGTAACTCAAAAACATTTTTTGATTGAAACGTAATGATTTACAAGTAATAAGGACTACAACATGTACGACCTGTTTTGTTTCAGATACTTTTTGTATAAACAAGAAGCTGCTACTGTTTGGGCAACGTATGTTGTAGCATTCTGAGACACAGGATTACTGATATTAATTTTTGTTTCCTGGTCATAGCATTTGATCTGTTAAACATCAAATGACAACTTTATGACCAGGTTATTGTTTTGTGTATTTGGTTATTCAAACCATATAGCCATCGACGACATCGATAAATTAATTGACAAATTTAAAATCAATGTTTTAAGGTCATATGACCTCGCCCCTTAAACAACATTCCGTGTAGCTTTTTTGTATAGAATTAACAACAAGGAACCTCGATAAACTTAACAACATACCTGGCGCAAAATCTAAATGTTTTATAATCTTTTCTCTGGAATTTCATATATTCCGTTGAATATCAGATATTTGAACGTTGTTTTATTTAACTAATATACTATTTCATTGCACTGAAACTCTTGTAAACATTTTACTAGACATGCAGTCACTATAGGACTATTCAGTAACATTTTGTTGAAAACAATAACTTTCTATTACGTAAACTTGTTCAATATGAATGATAAATCTACGAAAAGATTGCTGCACATTCACACATATTGTTTTCCGGGTTCACCTTGGTCTAAATCATATTCTAATCAACTGTTAAGTTTTGTATGTTTGATATATGAATTTGTCGTGATAAATCGCACATTTCGTTCTTTATTTATTTTGATCAATATAGGAAGATTGTGAGCTATAATATCTATTATTTGAAAATGTTATGACATAGAAAAAGGGTCTTGTAATTACTTTCTTTAGGAATACATAGTTTAAAAATTGGTATTTTTTTTGAAACGGCTATATCTCAAAAATATCAAAAAATAAATGTAAGATTGCATTCTTTGAAAAATAGTATTCGATGTTCAACATTAGTAGTACTGATGTTCGAAAGTATAGACAATAGCTTGGACACTTTGGAAGAAGCTTTCAAAAGTCAGACCTTCTTGTTCTGTTGTATTAATAAGGAGATATTAGCAGTAAGCAGTCTTCAACAGGGCCGTAATTGGCTGTCCTTAACAGAGGAGGCAGGGGTCTTGGGGCCGCCGACTGAGGCCCCCAGGTAGTGGGGGCACAGGGGGCAAAGCCCCCGGCCGAAAATTGTTATATTAGGGTTTGAAATATATCTTGTAACTTCCATTTTTGTATCTTATTTATCGTGTTTGTTTCATATTAACTCTATGAAGAAATGCATAAGGCAACCAGAGCCGGCTGATAGATACTTGCTTCGAGTTTATTCCATCTTACTATGTATTCATTTACTGTAGGGTACATGTTTAAAAGAAGAAAAAGCAGAACGACTGTGTTTGGTTAACGCTGCAATAAACTTGAAAAACACACATTTTAATAACATTTTAATAAATACAAAAGCAGGAACCGACCGGCAATGTAATTAGTAGTTTCAAAATGGTATATTTATTTGGATACAGGTCCCGATCGCATATGTAAGTGGGTCTGTAAGAAAATACAGACTCTAAATTCGATCTGGTACATTTAGCCACCCATTTGGATATGGTAAATTATTCATGTACTCTGTTTTCATATCTTGAATAATTTCCGGATTTATCTTATTTACTACAGCTGGTACGAGGTAAATTAAATTTAAATTCGCGATTTCCAGAAGAACTGAAGATAGTTTATATGGCAATTGCCATAGAAACTTATCTCCAGTTCTTCTAGAAATCGCGAGTTAATTGCCATGGAAACTTATCTTCAGAACTTCTGGAAATCGCGAGTTTAAATGTGAAATTATGTGGTCAATGAAAGGAAGAAAGTAGTTAACGCGGTAATGATCTTCAATACTTTCGACTAGTGCGTTTGTTCATATCTTGAATAATTTCCAGATTTATCTTATTTACTACAGCTGGTACGAGGTAAATTAAATTTAAATTCGCGATTTCCAGAAGAACTGAAGATAGTTTCCATGGCAATTGCCATAGAAACTTATCTTCAGTTCTTCTAGAAATTGCGAGTTAATTGCCATGGAAACTTATCTTGTGAAGTTCAGAACTTCTGGAAATCGCGAGTTTAAATGTGAAATTATGTGGTCAATGAAAGGAAGAAAGTAGTTAACGCGGTAATGATCTTCAATACTTTCGACTAGTGCGTTTGTCCTGTGTCTTTATCGCATGTTGTGCTCTTCTGGGCTTTGTTGGAACAACATAATTTTCATTACACACTTCTCTCGTACAAATCTTGAAACTTGGTAGTCTGCCTCATCGGTAGTTACGGCCCTGTTCAATTAGTCGAAATTAGGACTGAACGCATGTTCTTATTCATTAGCTATTTAGAGTAATCTAACTGTGCTTAAAAGTGTAAACAAACTTAAATCCTTTCTTGAATGTTAATTTTTCCTTTTAGGGTGGTGTTGTTCATTTAACTCCTCCCTACGATATGTATATTTTCTAATCATTTGATATGTCCGTGTCTGCAGTGGTATTTAGGTTTTTCAAGGAAGATTTCGTCACTATAAATTACACAAAACCTTATCTAAGTTCTTTCATAGATACACAATTTTGGCTAGGAAAAAACTTATTTTTAAATGAAAACATATTGTGTGCCGTCACGGTGGCTTGTTAAGATTTTGAATAGAAAAAATCAACAGAGTAGAGCTTTAAATCAACAGAAAAGAATGCATGACAGATGCCTAATTTATTCTTCCAAAGTACTTTACATCTTCTAGATAAAATTAAGAACATTCACATTTAAAAGTTGTCTCGAGTAGCGTGCTCACCTAGAGTGTGGTAGATTGTGGGTTCGACCCTGCCGGGTTAAACAAAATTTATTGAACTAAGTATATGTTTTTCTGCGCTATGCGCGCGGCATTAAGGAGTACGGAAAAACACTGATCGACTTGTAGTTGGAAAACTGTGTCCAGTAAGGTGACATGTTTCCCTGCAGACTGTTACTTTATAAACTAGAACGTTAAAAATCTGCCTCAGCATGGCGGTCTAATACAAATCAGAATTCTTATTCATATCGTTAACATGGTCTCGTTCTGAATATGCATTTAATTTTCCACTGGATCTTAAGGTCAAGTAAGATTAAATGGGCTATGCCACAGATTTTGCTAAATTTTGCATACAAGTTTCACTCGGGCTCGTTGAACTATAACTGAAAATCGAAAACATAATGCATTTATATCTTTTATTATCTGAAATATTACTGATTGAATTCTTTCAAAATAGGTGAACATTTGTATAGAAATCACATAAAACCGACGAAAATTTTTATTACATTTGTCTTAAGGATGTATTCTTCTGACGTTTCAGTCTCGTTGAAATCTCGTTCTGTAATTATTTCCAAAACATGTGATACAAGTGGAAAATATCAGTGAATTTAAAAAATATTATAATCAAACTTAACTCTGTGAAAAAATTGTG